TGGCACAGCTGCCCAGGGCAGTGGTGGAGTCCCCATTCCTGCAGATACTTAAAAAACATGTGGATGTGGCACTTGGGGAGATGGGTTAGTGGTGGTCTTGGCAGTGCTGCGGGAACAGTTGGACTTGGAGGGCTTTTCCAGCCTGAATGATTCTGTGCAGCGCCAGTGTCTCCCCACTCCCATGGCAGAGAACTCTGGGGAAAAGCTGTCTGGGAAGCAAAGCTGGCTGTAGGGAAAAGGTGTAATTACAGCTTGAAATCACTCGTTTGGGTGGAAACTGTGCTCCGGCAGCGCACAGGGAGGGCTCTGATCCCGGCAGAAGGTGTAATTAGGGAAGAGTCAAAGTTTCTTTGATGTTGAGGGAAGGCAGTAAACGTGTGTATTACAGGGGGTTTAGATCTTCAAATCTTGGGCTTTATTGAAATTAACTTTCTTACACAGATTTTATGACAAGAAATATGAAGTATTTTTGAAGCTTGTGGAACATCAGAGGGAGTATCGCTCCATCATGAACAGCTTGTGATCCCAAGGGATGTAGTCTGGGAACAGCAGGGATAATGAATTTCCAGGCACGTGTGATGTGGGTAATTTCTTCTTACTGTACCATCCATGTTAAAAATATACTTTTATCATTTAAAGTATACATTTTAATTTTTAATGAGAAATAAAATGCACTCACTTCGCTGTGAAGCATTGGGTATTTCCTGTCAATAATCCCTGCACCCCAGGGACAAGGAATATTCATCTGTTCCAGTCAGAGAACACAAGATAACCATCTGCAGGTACCCCAGTGCTTGTATTTGGACTGGCAGGAACAGCACAAGGAACAACATGACTCACTCTGATGGACTTGAGTCCACAGAGTCACTGTTCATGTAGGTAGACTCCATCTTATGCCCTTAGCTTGAGAGAAATTCATTCTTTAGCATTGGCATAGGCTGCAATTCCCAGTTAAATGCAAACAGAAGTTACACAATAAAAAAATTGGACTTGGAATATTTGGAAAATAATAGTTTCTGCTTTTTTTTTTATGTTCGTAGTCAGTCCTGAAAAACATCTGGTAATTTTTTTAAAGAAACAATGCACTTCCTGCCTTGTAGTTCATGGAAAAGCAATTGTTGCCATTTCCAAAGTACCCATTGTTAGGAGAAACAGCTTTACAAGTTCAGGGACATAATTAAAGACAATGAAAGTTGATGGGAATAAAATGAAGAAACATCACAACACAAAGAGTAAAACAAGCAAGAAAATGACTGAGACACGGTGGTGTGTCAGAGCTCACAGCTCAAGGGCATGATAAAATATGGCAGCTGGGAATACAGGGAGGGGAAAAGCAGTTGGAGAGCAGTGTGTTGTAAACAACAAATATTCATAAATTTTAATGTATCTATTTCAATATACAATTAATGTGTAAAAAAGAAGTCCACAGACTCCAAATGGATAGCAAATGTACAGATTATACAGGGACAGATGTGCAGGGTTGGCTGGCACTGTACCAGCGCTTCTACTCTTTGCAGCTCAATACAAACACACACACAAACAGCTTCAGCAAAGTTTCCATAAACTTCCTGCTTTTTATATCATTATCATCAAACTGGCCTTGATTCCTCAGGCTGAACTGGTACCAAGCTTAGTGATCACAAGGAGTGTATGGAGTTTAGAAAGGAAACAAACAGTCACACTGGCTTGGTGTAAAATGTAGATGCACAAAGTTCAAGGAATCTCTGTACCTTACGTGGGCTTGTACAAAACAGTTACGGGGAGATTTGTTCACATTTCCTACATGGCTTTTTAATGCTTTTCTCCCCGTGTAATAGTTGTACTTTATAGCTGCATTTCTGTTGCAGGACAGTGTTACTACCAGTTTCACATTATGCATTTTAAAATCTGTTCCCATTGCAGAGCTGTAAGAAATCCATATCTCAGTGTCTGGGAAATCAGCTGTGATAACACAAACACTGGTACAGGATTTTGCAGTGAGATTGTCTGACCATCCTTTTGTTATGCAAGACTTAGCAAATTGTACAGCTTGTCGAGTTCTCAAATTAAAATTTAATTCAAATTGAGCCAAGATGTAAAATGTTAAAGCTCAGGAGTTCTAGCACTCTTCAGCTGCAGGTCGATGGGCATTTTAATGTTAAGCTCTGTTTTTGGCTTTAGGCACTTTCAATTTAGGCTCTTTGGATGACGAGAAGTTACAGAAAAATGCAATAGAGAGAGTTTAGCAAGTGCACAGTGTAAAACTGCCCTCTGAGGTTTCACACTGAGTCACTTGGCAGTGCCAAGCACTGCTGAGTCCTGATCCAGCCCATGTCACCAGCAAAGGGACAAACCCATCACACGTGTCCCCAGTCCAAGAGAAGCCCGTTCACTGTTTGGTGAAGTTTGCCCAAGGGCCCCAACTGGAGCCAGTCAGGCCCAGGCCTTGCCTCCCTCACCCATTGGGTGCAATTTGCTGACAGATGTTTATCGTGCAACTTAAAAGAAGGGGAACCACCATGTCATCAGCTGCTCCAAGTATCCTGCAGAGAGGCCCAGGCTTCACATCAAATGGAGAAGACAAGCATAGGTGGTTCCAAAGAAGCAAACAGCACCTCTGAGGAAAAAAATCCATGAGACACCCCAAGGTGAAGATTCTTCAAAAGGCAAGAGTCAGGAACAGCAGCATGTCACACAGGTAATCTGCAAACTGAGTATTCACATGACATAGGTTATTTTGCATCCTGATGCTTGCAGTGTTTCAGTTCAATGTGTCTCTAAGCATTTTCAGATTCAAATCTCTTGAATGAAGAACCTTTCTGTGCTGCATGAATGCCCCTATGCTGTTCAATTGTGCAGTATCCAGAGGAACATTTCTAAAAGGGATCCCCACTGCCCCAGACCTTGGAAAAGAAAATATTCTGCCTGACATTGAATCCTTTTGGGAATTGGGTCTTAATGGCTGCACTGTGTGTGCCTGGATTGAGAATTTGGCACCAAGTGTAGGCTGTGAGTGCTTGGAAATGAGGCCTTGAGTCTCACCCGGCTTTGCACAGGAACTGTAGGACTAAGTGATTGTTCCTCTTCATTAATGCTGTTGGGTTGGGTTAAAAATTAATGTTCCCCTCCACGGGGCGTAGTTTAGTCGGTAGGTTAGAACAGACTCCACAGTTCTTTCAGGCTCCTTCCCAGGATGTGACAGGAGAGGAAGGATGTGCTTTGGTGATATCTTACACCCTGTCAGGAACAGGCCTTGCTTGTGCCTTTTACTTTGCAAAGTGGCTGTGCAAAAATGGAGCCTTTGCTCTTCTACACTGATATGTACAGAGATACACAGACCAACCGAGGGAGGGTTTCCACAGTTTCTTTCCCTGTGGATAGCACCTTATTCTTGAAGCTCCCTGGATTGTTTGAAGCCCTTGGGAATACAGGTACCCTGTGGACAGAAGCATTGCTGCTCCATCAAAGAGTTGTCCAGAGCCAGTGTGGCTTTCAGGGTTGTGAGGGCCAGTTATCCCAGATAAACCAGGAGGCACTGCCAAGGAGCAGATGTACCTCTGGAAAATCCAGTTGTCACATCCTTTCCAATTCTTCTTACCCAGACAACTGCTGATTTCCAAGTACAACATAGAGAGGTTTCAGGAAAGAGGGCAGGAAGATGAGGCTGCACGTGTGGTGACAGCAGTGGGTGACACACACTAATGTCAGGGCTGGCACTAACAGCAAAAACAGCAAAGCACAAACAGCATCTGATCAGAAGCAGCACAGCTTGACTTGCAGCTCCTGGGGCAGTGAGCAGTGTGACAGCTTAGGGGAAACAAAACCTCTCAACAATTAAACTGATCAAACCTGACAAGGACCCCAGTGCAAACAGCAGCACAACACTGAGCTGCCACTGGGATGGAATTGTTCTGTTGAACTGAACAATTACCTTTGTTCTTCAAAATAACCAGCAAGCAGTTTTTTGTAAGTCTCCAGGAGCCCTCAGTGCAGGGTTTCTGCACCCAGAGTTACTTTGTCTGCTGTCATTGGAAAGGGGAATATGGGATAAACCGTGCTTGAAATCCAGTGTAACAGTGGTCCTGATGCCATCAGTTACATGTTGTGTACAAAGACTGGGGATGTTAAATTTGGCCCAAAAGTATTTTTATGAACCTTGCTCTGACTTCTGCTTTTTACTCTTGTTTTTGTTCAAGTGCAGGGTTTTCCTTTGTGACTGTTGTGTTTTGTTTGCACTCACAGACCAGTTGTTTGGGCCCATGGCTGTGTTTATCCCTAAATCCCCATCCAGTCTGTATAAGCCCAGTCTGGCACCCAGCTTCCAGCATCCCCTTGAGCTTTTGCATTTGCCAGCCGTCACACCTGACTTCAGGAACTGCTTTGCCCCACTGGATCCAGATCCTGTCTGGTGATCCAGTGGCTGCACTGCTGTGTCTGTGCTCCATCCTGGTGAGGTGGACAGGGCACTGATGGGTCCCAGAGTTCTCCAAGGCCTTTCACAAAAGAACCCTGTGGAAATTAAGATTTGCTGCATGTGGAATCCTTTGTTTGGTAGAGGAAAGGAAGGACTCCTCTGAAGTTGACCTATTTGTGCTTTGGTGCATTTTTCATAAAATAGACAAAATCCTGTTTTAATCCAGCTCACTCTACAACCTTCTGAGGGAGCCTGTAGGTTTCTCTAAAATACCTCTGTGGTTATTGTTAATTAGAAAAAAATAATATTGCTCAAGGATCGCTTTTCAGTTGAACTTCCTGAACATATGGTTCAAACTGAAGCTGAAAAGGAAAACTTCAGGACAAACTGTATGAATTACTACTAATAATAAAATCAGACATTTTTTTATAAGTCCACATTAATCTTCCTTAAAAGCTTTGGGTTGACCACATTTTTTAAATAAAACTTTTACCGGAGCGGAATTTATTAAGAGAGCTCAGCGTTGCCTTAGCTCTGATCCACAGGGCATCAAGAGAAGTTTTATTGCTGATTTCAGTCACAGCAGACTTAGATCTACACTGAATGGTTTTGATAAGCCCAATGTAAAGTTTTATTGGTTTAAGACATGAAAAACAGACGTTACAGAGAGCAATTCTACTCTATAAACACAGTCATAACATGTATAATGCTTTGCAAGGAGTCAGTGCTTTGGAGTGTAAATAATGGTGTGTGGAGGAAAGTAAAGCCTGGCTAAACACATACAACTAACAAAACCAATATAGACCAGGCTTGTACATGGTACTTCTCCTCTGCAGATCTCAAAATTAAGGACAAATAGTCTGTATCATTATGTCATACTCACAGATGGAAAGGGAAAATTAACCAGACCAGGAAAGAGGGAAGTTGATGCTCTTTGTTGTTATGTCTGTCCTTGTACTTGAAACTATAACTACTGTGGTATTATTTGAAACACATTTTGAGGCCATGTGCTCATTGTTTGTCCTGGAAGAGTTCTATTCAAAGCCGCCTTTTCCTGTATGTTATAAAACAGTGTTAGAAAAACATGAAACAACATAAAATATTACACGGTGTCTCTCCTGAGGTGTCCTGGCTGTTGGTGATCCACTGATGCGTCGTGGCCTCAGAGGATGGTGATGCTGGCAATGGTGACAAGGGGCTGTGCTGTGTGAGCATCATTTCAATCTAGGGGAAAAGCACGTTTCCTAAAGATAAAAATGTGTTTTTATTGCACCTTGTTCTTCTTTGTAAATATAACTTGCACTTGCTCTAAGGTTGTGGTTCTGGCTCCAGTGGTGCAGAATGTGGGCCTTAAAAATCCTGAAATCCCCTTTATAAATGGAATTATGAACATAACTGCCTCCACTATTCTATGCTTCATCTTTGTATTCACTTGGAATAACTACTGAAATGCTGTAATCCCAACCATATGGCTCAGAGCCTCAGAGAAGGCATTTAGCAGGCACGTTTATCCAGAGAATTATGGTTTTACGTAGATTAGCAGTGGCTGGAGATGCTCTGGGGAAAGACAGGAGCCCACATCAGGGGCAGCCTTGACAGAAGGACCCTCTAAATCTGATCTGTCCCTTTCCTGTTAAACAGATCCTGGGCTGGAATAAACACTTACTGAGCATGTAATGAGATGTCTTTGAACATTTTCCCCCTATATGACCACAAAGATTTACTTAAAAAGCAGTAAACAGATTAAAAAAGGCTTTATACATGGCTAGAAACTAACTTACTGAATTGTTTAATATGGATCTTCCGTGATTTTGTTTGTTTAGAAAACTTTTACAGGGCTGCAAAGCAATGTAATTATGCCTGGATCACTTCTGCTTTATTTTAGGCAGAACCAGACCTAAGACTGGTGTGTCTTACTCCTGATTTCCACCAATATAAATTAGTTTTATGGAATAGCTGGATTTTTATGCTGATGATTAAAAAGACATGCTGTCTTCTGAGAATTGAGTTCATGCTTTCACAGTTACAAATGTGTGATTATTGGACTGTTGATTTTTATAATAGGTTGGGGGTTTTTTGCATAGTTGAATACAAATTTTGTAATTTTCTGGTGCATTTTACCCATTCCACAAATTTGTGTTGTAATTTAACAGTATACTATGAGAGGATCTATTACTTCTTGTCATCCTTAGACTTCTTGGGCATTTCAAAAGTAGCACCTTGTAATGTGAAAGCAATGAGCAAATAAAAATTTGCTGGGGCAGCTGGAGTCTCTGTGATTACTGGGTTGCCAGATTTGGAGTGATTCCTGGAAGAGTAGTAGTACAGAGTCTTCAATAAATTAGTAATTTGACTGACATACTCAGTTCATTAATAATAATTTACTGTGGTTAGCAGAACATCACAGAAGAACAAATGCCACACATACCTGTTACTGTTTCCCCCCCTCCTTTTTAGTCATGTCAGTCACTTAAATGTACTGAAATAAAGTCCAGTGCATTCTCTGCCTTCCTTGGGTGGCAGAACAGGATTCTTAGTGTGTACCATTGGCTGGGTAGCAAAAAGATCCTTTATTTAAGTAAATTAATTGCTTCCAAACAATCCATCCCTTTGCTTAGCAAAGTCGGAAATTAGTAATAATATTAAGCTTTGTTTTTGGAGTTGGAAGAGAAGAATTCTATAAGCCTCTGAAATGATAAAGAGGCATTCTCAAATGCAAAGTGTGTTATCATATGTTCCATTGCCACAGCCACGATGAGATCAGTCTTTGAAGTCAGAAATTAAATACCTGATTGGCATCTGTCTACATGACAGATCAATGAATGCACCTCCAAGTATCTGACTTTTTTACAGAATAGTGGGAAGAACCAGATGACTGGGAAGATTCAAGCTCATTTGAGAACAAAGTAGGGTTTTTAATTAGTTTTTCTAATATAATAATTCTAAGAAAGAAGAGAAAGGTCATTGTGTAGGTCTGCCAGGTGAGTGTTGAGAAACCGGGTCTCTTGCCAGAGCCATGTCTAAAACTATGTCTAAACTCATTCATCAAATGAATAATTTCAGATCAGCACCATTGATACCAATCTTTCCTCCTAGAATGAGGATCTGTAAATAAGAGGAACTGGAGGTTTCAAAACAAAGTGCCAGAACGCAGACTCAATGATCTCAAAGGGCTTTTCCAACCTAAACAATACTATGTTTCTGTAACTACTGGAAAAGAATCTTTCTCTACTGTTTGTGAAGTTATAAATGTATTTGTTTCCGATTCTCAAAAGAAGAATTTCAGATGCCGAAGGCCTTTCCATTGTATTCAGATTTTCTTCTCCCTGCACTGATCAGATTCTCTCCTGATGAGATAACAACCACACAATAGCAAAGCTGGGATGGCCATGTAGGAGTAACTAAACCTCAGGATGGTCCAGGGCACTGTGAGGTGAACTCCAGGCAAAGAGGCTTTTTTTAATTCAGTGCTACCTGAAATGCATCCAGCACGTCCCTCTCCTGTATTTTGACTTCCCTGCAGCACTGAGGGTATTTGCAGATCCAGAAGAGCATTACTTCAGGTATAAGCTGTGGTGGTTTCTGTCAGCTGGCACTGCCCCAGAGCTGTGTTTACAAACACTGCACACATGACATAAGCCCATTAGGTATCTACTCTTTGTTTTTGCACAGTAATAACACACACATTTCTTTAGCTTTGTCTCGTACAACAAAGGGAATGAAATGTGTTTCTGATTATGCAATAGATACGGAGTCAAGGGAAACCCAGCATTCCCAGACCATAACCAATGGAAATTCTGAAAGGCTCTCCTGCCCTTTGCAGCCTCGACACATTGAAACCTCTTGTGTATTTTGTATTAGCATGTGTTGTACAATAATTAACTTATTATATGACTCCTAAGGGACAAGTGATTATGGTTTATTTCCAGATGACTCATGAGCAAGTCTGCAGAAAGAGAGTTTGTGCTGCTCAGAAGATAGGAAAATGAAATGTTTAGTGTTGCTGATGATCCCAGTTCTGGCTGCTGAGCTCAGGCACCGTGCGAAGGCACTGGAAACTCATCAGCTTCAGTGCAGTGTCCTGTTGAGACCCTGAAAATGCTCAAGCTCTGCTCCCAGAGCATTTGAGTTAGGACTGTGAATTACAGCAAAGAGCCAGGCAGTGATCCTGCTCTGGGTGAACAATATATGCATATATGGGAAAAAGAAAAATCATTTAAACCCAGTATCATGACACCACATTTTTTATTTTCTCGTGATCTCTGAGTGAATGAAGCGAAGTGGGAAACTCAGCCAGCTCCTGCAGTGTGACAGAGGATGCAAAAAAAGGCAGTTCTTTACATACATGGTTAAGCTGTGGACATTCTTATGGATGCTAGAGGTTTCTGAGCCCAACAGGTACTGAGGGCAAGGTGGCCCTGGTTTCACCCAGTAGAGCCATTCCTTCCCCCAGTTGTATTAACACAGCATTTGGGAGGAAAAAGAGACTTGGGGTCACCTTCAGCAAAGACATCAGTGGCTTAGACTTGTCCTGAGTAGATCAGCTAGGAAAAACATGCCAAACCTCTCATTGGTTTTTAACAGATTATATGCACAAAATCAAATTTCTGATTTATTGAGTCTAAGCACTTAAAATGATGCTCGAGTTGGCTCTGTCCTGGTTATAAGGGGCCCTCCCAGCTGGATGTGATAGAAGGAGAAGACAGATGATATCTGACATCGCTGTGAGTCTGCCAGAATTAATTTACCCCTTCCAAAATCCTGAGCTGGCCTTTGAACATTTGAACGAGCAGATTGAATTAGAGATTGCAGGAATGATTATGGCAGTTAGGGTTTGTGTTGTGAGGCTTTGAGTTTTTGATGGCATTAAACAGTCTTAACAAAATAAAATATTTAGTGTGACTTTGCGTACAATGACAGATTTTTAGGGAGCTTCCTCTCATGCAGTAGTTCTGTGTCCAATTGCAAAGAGCACAATTAAATTTGTCATTCCTTGTAGCATTTCAGGCTGGAAACTCTGTGACAGCCCACAAAAGCAACTGTTTTATAGCCTTCATTTTGATCTTGGTGCCTATATATTGATGTTTACCTCTGTGCCACAGCTCAGCTCACAACATCCTCCAGCTTTACCACAAAGAAATTTAGTTTTAAAGCATCAGTGGTGAGTCCATTCTCATCAGCATCTTTGAGGAGAGGGAATTAAAGTTTAAAGAGCACTTAGCAGATTTGAGTGCTAACAAACAGTAATTCATTTTTGCAAGAGAGTATGCTGTATTTAGTAAAGCAAGCCATGCTTTGAGGTTTGGAGCTGTCAGGAAGGTGTGACAGTGTGTGACCTCTGGCCAGCTTGCTCTGACAGGTGAGCAGCTGCTCAGGGTCTCATTACAAGGCCAGTAAGATGACCAGGGAGGAGACACTGGACAGCTCATTATTTGACAACACACATTTAGCCTAATTATAAGCAAATTCTAAACATGACATTTTAAAGGGAAGAATTGATTCATGCAGATTTTCAAAAAGTAATCTAATGATAAAGTCTAAATAAATATTTCAATTATTTATTCATAATCAGTCTAATGAACACTTTTTAGAGTGGTCCAGGACACCTATGTGATGTTTGGCTTATCATTCCCCTTTCCAGAAATGTTTGAGAGGAGTTGACAGTGTTGGTGTACAATCATTCAGCAAGACCAATTATGCCTTATTTGTCAATTATTAACTTAGTTGCCCAATGGCAAGGGGCTGACAGGTTTTCTAAATTATATCTATGAAAGAAATGTACTTTTTTCCATCTCAAAATAAAACGCTCCCTTTCTAAATCTTCTCCTCCAAGATACACTTAACATCTTGAAAAGATACTTGAACCTAATAAAAAAAAATTGTGTTCCTATTTTTAAATATTAACTTGATCAAGTGCACACCGCAGGTATTTTGATCACCTGACAGAGTAGCAGCTTATCAGTGCTGTTGCGAAACAGCCCTAAAACTTGCCAGACACTTACGGTGCTTGGGAATTGCATAACTGCAGAATTAGGTTGTGTAATACAACATTGTCCAATTCCTAAGTGAAGTGCAGAATTTAAGCATCAGGTCTAATATGCTAAAATAATTTTAATTGATGGGCATTTATACTCCATAGGGTTTTTATACTTTGTCATGATCTGTGGTCCTTGAGAAAAGTTTGATTTCTGTAAAGGTGTTCTCCAGTTTAATGCAGAAAAATTAATAAGGAAACCTGCTCCTGGCTTGGTTTTGTGCAGTGTTCACCATCCTGATCCTGATTCGACAAGGCACTGAAGCACAAGCTGAATTTTCAGCCCTCAGGTAACACATAACCTCTTATGTGTCAGTAATATTGGAATAGAAATACACTTATAACAGCAATAATGCCCCTGGTATTCCTGCTGGAGCACTGATAAGCTAAACAAAGCACTTTTCAAAGACTAATAACCGGATGGGATTTGTAGCATAAACAATGCTCCTTGTTAGTCACCAGTCCCCAGGGCATCTTCCTCACTTCGTTACAGACAAATCAGTAACAAATGAAATGCTGTGTGTGATTTCCTGCCCTGGCTGTGTCTCCCTGCTCGCATGCCAGTGTGAGAGCTGTCAGTTATTATTTATCCGTGGCTGTGTTCACATCCACAGTGTGATTTAATTACTTATTAAAGGTGCCAGACTGGCAGATGCAGAAGCTGGAGCAGTTTTATTATCCAGAGAAGTGACACGGTGTGAGCAGTAATATCCTTTCAGGATGTTCTCGGAAAATGCTTCACCACAATGGACTCCTCAAATCCTTCTCTCCAGCCTTTTCCCAGCTTCTCTACCCCAGGTGTTAAATTCAAAAAGGCTGCTCACAGAGATGTCAGTTAGTCCTGTGGTTTTTAGATGGGAATGTGGATACCCTGGAAAATCATTTTGAACACATTAAATCTATTTTAGCTAGGCCACTTGACCATTGGTTAGTACTAACTCAAAAAAGGACCTGAAGGGTTTTAATACAGAGGTGAAACCTACTCTAGCTAAATAGTAGCAAAAAAGATTATTCGTAAAGGGGGAATGAGCCCAGAGGATTTCCTTCTGCTGGCCAGGGGCTGTGTGCACAGGCCTGTGGCTCTTCTGCAGTAACTCAGACATGCTTGTCTTGGAAACTGGAGGCTTAATTCTGCACTGTTTCAATAAGCAGGATTTTGGGTCCATTTTCTTACTTCACTCTAAGCCTATTATTGCTTGGTTCAAAGCTCTTCCCCACCCCTGGGCACAGCTGGATGCAGGAGAGCAGGGAATCTTCTTGCACTTCCATCAGTGCCTAGGCTTTAATGGGGAAACTGAGATTTTACTTGGCTAAACTCAGTGAATTTGACCAGAGAAAGGCTGTTAAATAACAGCAGGTTCCCTTCACACAGCTCCAGAATATTTTGAGAAAGATACCGGACACAAGGATATCCAAACTTCTGTGAATCTCTACATTAAATCAGTCAATCCATGATTGCCCCAGGCCAGCCATTCCTGTTTCCTTGCTGACTTTATTGGTCCCAGCACATGCCTGAAAGTTGCAATCCTGGATCCACTTTGCCAATTACAGGTTGGGATTTTTTGGTGCTAGATCTTTGCAGAGTCCTTGAAGCACAACTGCAGTGCCAGTCACAGTGTTTGCTGATAATGAGCTTGTTGTTTGGCTCTGGAGTTTAAGCTGGCAAACACTCCCATGCCTGAGTTATTTTGCACAGTCCAGTGGTCCCATCAAAGCCAGCAGGTCTGTATGTGCCAACCACTGGCATTACTGCATTATTAATTCCCAATTTTACAAATCAGGTTTCTTGATCTACTCCACAAAAGGCTACCTAACCAAAAACTGGGCCTGTGAAGTATAAAGATGGGGCTGAGAGGTACAAAGGTGTGAAACAGCATTCCCTGGCAGTGTTTTGGAGCAAGGCCTGTGTAATGGCCTTTGACCACTGAGGGGTTTTCGACTGAGACAGTTTTGCATGATGCACCCTCAGTGAGTCCCATCTGTGACCCTAATTCCATCCTGGAATGTAAGACTGGGAGCTGCTGGGTATGTAGGCAGGCTTCACAGAGTTCTGCTCAGATGAGGAGCTCAGCTGAGAACCTGTTCCTGTGCACGAGCAAAGCACGTCTGAGCAGCTGCCAGTGGAGGGCAGCAGGAAAAGCAAGGGAGGAATCTCTATAAGCACAAACAGAAGGGACTGGCTGGTAAAATCAGACAATAGTAACCTTTAGCTTCAAAAATGATCCAAGTGCAAAATGCAATTTTGTTAGAAATGCCAGTAAATACATTTGCAACTTCCCAGCACTGCTTAGAGAGAACAGTCTGTTGAAGCGACTCGACCCCCTGCTGTGGGAATTGGCTTTCCCTCTTTGGAATATACTGTATCAAGAGAACCTTCAAATATGAAAGAATATGTGTTCAAAATTTTTAGGCAAACTGAATCTTATTTTCCAAGAAAACCAAGAAAAATGACATTGATATAAAAATTATGGGAAATCTGAAATCAGTTTTGACAGATGCACAGTAACTTTTTTATTTCATACATAAATATTGCAGTTATTCATTCTGCACTTCACATACCTGTAGCTCTCCCACTCTGATTAGCTGTGGTTGGGTTTGAGACATTGCTGTGTTATTCAATAGCAAGTGAGAGCTGTGACATTTTCACTCAGTGTTTCTATTTTTCAACACAGACTCTTCTTCAGCTAGAGAATACTATTTAAATATTCCATTTAAAAACATACCTTTTAGTAATTTTTTAGACCAACTTACAGATGTTGAGAAAGAAATACCCCCTAATAAGTGAGCTGTTGATTTTCCACTTAAAAATAATGAATCAAGTTATTAACATTTTATTCAGTGAATCTTCTATGCTGATAAAGTTTATGAATAATAAAGATAATGGTATGTAACTGGTACAATGGAACACAGAGTTTTGAAAATTATTTTGTTTAAAGAGATTAGAGATATTACCAGAATTAGTTTCTCTAGTAGTACGTACCAGTACCCTGGTACAGAATCAATCTATGGGGATTTTCTTTTTGGAAATTAAGTTTGTGATTTCCCTGATCCTGCAAAAAAATAGAATTCTGAGCTTACTCATGGAGTAATCCCAGACTGTGGTGAGAACTGAAAGTATTTGGACAATATTAAATAAGTGTGAGAATATTCCCAGGATCAAAATCTCCAGAATGGCCTTGTTTGGACACAAACCCACCTGCCAAGCTGGTGCCTTACAAGTCACCACATGGCCCCGCCTCTTCGATGCACCTGAGGAAAGAGGATCTCAAAGTGGGAATGTGGATTTGTTTGTGACCAACACGCCTCTGTCACAGTTCATATCCCAGTCCTGCATTTTTTCTCATAGGCACCAACTGAAATTGTATCTGAGACATTTAATACATGTGAATTTGCAAAGCCAGGAGCTGTTACCGTGACAGAGCAAACAGTTCCATGATGTCAATGAACGTCAGCCGGAATGCTGGAACTGCCAAAGCCCACTTTCACTTGTGACCTTGTTCAGTAAAAAAGATAAGAGCGCTAAAATAGAAGGGCAGGTATCAGGGAGAAAGTAAATGAAAAGGCAGAAATTAAAAAACCACAGATAGGAGATTGACAAATGTTAGGGAACGACTAAGGCAGCAAGAGCAGGCCTGGAGGGGATGTGACAGTGGCAAAGCAGGGTCCAGCTGAGGAGAAATGTTGTTGCAGAGCTGTATTTTATTCTGCTCAAGTCACTGCTCTTAAAAGTTCCTGATTCTGAGGTGTTGCCCTGAGAAAATCGAAGTGAATCATTCCTTAAAGATGTTAACCATTTACTCTCCTGCTGTACAGGGCCAAGAGGTACAATTCCAAGACCTGGTCTCTTTTATGAGCACAGGTAGGTAGTTTTCCACCTCTGACCTGCTTTGTCTCCAGTATAGCTTTTTATGGAATTTAATGAGCTATCACAGCTATTGGCTCTGTGGCTCTATTTCCATCTTTTCTCTTTAAGTTTATCAATGCCTATTTCACTGACATATGAGAAACCTTAAATAATATTTGTAAAAGCAGTTGCTATTTTCTGAAACTGCTCTAATAAACTAAATATTATTATTCTGTGTAGAAGGTGTGGATGCATTTTTACTCTGCATGCACACACTCGCTGTATCACATGGGCTAAGATAACTGCACTTGAAAGTTTGTAACCAAGGACCCCAGAAACTACTCCAGTCAAAACTAAATTAACCATAAAACAGACTAGAAATGCCAGCCCAAGCCTTCATAGTTTTAATGAGATGACTATTTCTTACCAGTATTAAATCTGTGGGGAGAGGGAAATGTTCAGTGAGTTAAGATGTGCTAAGAAAAGTGTAAAGAAGAGCATAAACGGCTCAGGAATTCCAGGAATCCCACTGGCTTAAACAGTCTTTTATTTAAAGCAAATGTTCTAATAGTTGAATGACTTCCAAGAAGGGCCTCAAGTGATGAAAGTATTTCCATCTAATGTGAAAATACTTGAAAGATGCTTATTCCCTGTGAAAATATTGCCACCTTTCAGTAAAGCCTGAATACAAGACTCCTTCAATTAATATACTCTTGTAAAAGGTATTAATTTTCAGAATTAATATATGAAATATCCAGAATTCCTACTGTTTTGATAATAACAGATTCTAACGACTTTCATCTCTTAGAACAGCCAAATTAATTCAGAGTATTTTACAAAACAGATACTTCAGTTACAGAGCGAAAAAATTCACATTCATCATCATGGCATTGCTCCCATTTCCCTCGGGGTATAACTGACCTGGAAAGTACTGTGGAGCATCTGCAGGGAAAAGCAGTTGGGAAACACAAACCTGCATGAGACCAGCAAGGCAATGAGAACCTCCAGCCAGTCACACAACTACAGTTCACATTAATGGCTTTTTAATTCATATTTTATGATTTTTAGGTGTTATGTTGAATAAACTCCATTTGATTACAATAGATTTTAAATTGGCCGAATTTGGAGAATAAGCAGATAGTCAATGCCTTTTTCATGGAAATAGAATAATGTCCAATAAACATAGAGCTTGACTCAAAAGAAGTGGGAGTGTTTATGCCAGGAAGGTGTAAGAGATTGTGACAAGACATGAAGGGATGTGTGGCCCAGGGAATACAGCACGTATCAAATCGGTTTGTATTGTGTAATAATTCACTGCACACATTTTGGGAATTTGTTTCTAGTTTGTTTATCTGAAAAATTCAAACATGCCTCGGCACCACAGAACACCACGGGGCTTATGGGTTGTTCCTAAAGCTTTTGAAAAAGCTTTGAAAGACGCTTGGGAGGTGTAGACTTCCATAAATCAAATCCATCAAGCTGCTAACATGACTGAAAAGCTGAGGAATGTTTTTTATCTTATGTTTTCTAATGGCAAGAAACGTGCAAGGTACACAACTAACCACTAAGGGTCACTGTTTGGTGTTTTCACATCCTGATGTCTTTCTTTCCAAGTGCTTAGAAAACCCCTTTTAGATCCAGTCCTGTATATTAGGATTTTCCAACAACACTATTTTTTAAACTACCAGTGAGATGCATATGTGCCACACAAGGTATGGGAAAATTCCAGTGTCTGGATATGGAGCTTTCTTGAGCAAGCCACCAAGTCATGTCTGAACTGAATATTGTTCGTATTACTGGATACGATGATGTAAGTCCCATTGAACATAAAACCAACCCCTTAGGAATCTATTTTATTTTTATGAATAGCAGTTAAATAATTGTAGCAAATGCCATTCTTCTGTTTTGTTAAGAAAGTTAAATAGACCTCACTGAGGGATTGTCAGATGCTTTGTCAAGAAGGCAAGAGATGCACTATCAAAAGGAGTGGGCACATTTTAAATAAGTCCCTGTTGTGAGAAGTAATTTAACCTGACTTTATAATGTAGTAACAGTGGCTATCAGACATCAGGAGACTGAGATGCAGTCCTGCCATGAGGTGGAGTCCTGGCTGGCCTGCCCTGTTTCTAGGATGTTAATATAGGTCATAATCCTTGACTGGCACTAACCCAGAATGTGCTGACAGACATTCACAAAAGCTGCAGCTCATGAAGAAATCTCCAACCAGGCTTAAAAAATAAACCCAAACCACCTTATTCTGCATCAGGCACAGAGATCCCTTTGTTACACTTCTGCCCCACGGCTGAGCTCCCAGCACGGCTGGACAGTGCTGTGGTGTTCCTGATGTGCCCTGAAAAATGTGGAATAGCTGCACAGATCTGTCTGGAGCTGTATTTTATTTCTCTGCAGGTTCAGACAAACCCTTGCTGTGTGCTGACACTAGTTTGTCTGGGTGAGTGCTCCCTCACCCGAGCCAGCCGTCTGACCTGGATGCAGCAGCCGGGAGCACACGGGTGAGCCGATCTCTCCTGACATAATCCCAGATTACCAGACCTGCACAGCCTGCCTTGTTTTTACACAGATCTCAGCCATGCTCCCTGCACCAGCCACACTCTCAATAACACCTTTCCTGCACTGCCATCCCTTAGGAATAATAATTTCTGGATGCTTTTGAAAGAGGAGCAACCCTGAGCCCCACCTGGTGCCTCCACCCATCCCTTCTGTTCCACCTCAGCCCTGGGTGCAGCAGTGTCGCAGTCATGCCTGTGCCTGTCCAGGGACCCCACGGATGTGGACCGTGCCCTGTGGACTGAATTCCCACCTTGGCCTCAGAGCTGCCTCGTCACTGTGCACCTGCCTGGTGGTCACAGCACTGTACCTGACTCTGGTCACCTCGCTGGGCCTCACCCTCACCGGCTTCCTGGGCTTTACGCTGGCAGGAAGCGACTGACGTTGGGATATGACACTGCCTGAGAGGGAAAGGACATCAAATTATGGAACCTGTAAGGAAATAAAGAGGGGTAATATAAGCAAAAGCTAGTAGAAATTATAGAAGAGCAAAAATACTAAAAAACTAAAATGAGCATGGCTCAACAGTGCAAATCCCAGCACAGAACTATGTGGGATTTTACTGTAAAACCCTTTTATTCCTTATTCTGTTTTTAATAAGGATTTACGTTAATCTCCCACGGCAACCAAGTCTCTTTAAGAACCTTTGGTGAAGGAAATCAGTAATAGGGTTTCCAGAAATCAAAGTCCACTCTTGAGCCTTTATCAATTCTGGACAGCACTTTGAGGGAAATAGTCATGTAAATATTGTCCATGTCATGACCACAATTTCCATCTCTGCAAAGAAAAGTAGAATCAGTAACAGAAAATTAAATTATGTGTCTTGAAGAATGGCTAGAAAGGAATATATAGTGCTTGTAACAGCTATTACTCAAGATATTTAGAGTATTCTTAGGCTACCTTAAACACTAATGTGTTTAATGCCATTCTGCACATTCCAATACAGTCAATGTAAGAATCTTTATAAAACAGAATCAGCTAACGAAAAATAATGGTTCAAATAGATGAGTAAAAGAGGAGATAGAAGTAAGTTCTTTTGCTGAAACAGGAAAGGCTCAGAATAATCCCACTGTTTTCGTGTAAGGTAGAGATTTTTCTCTGGTGTCCGGGGCAGGGTGGTATAGAAGACAGGATCCTGAATCAGTCCAATCAACCCACAAGATCTGATCAACTACGGTAAGCTTTTCCTATGAAACAAATATAGTAGAGGGAAGAGAGTGAACAAATTTTGGTAGTTCCTTTTTTTCATTGAAACAAAAAAAGATCAAACAACAAAGTACTTCTGCGGTTTAGCTCTCATGTCGTGAACTGTGTAAAATGCAAAGAAGTGCGTGGTGCCTGCGTGGTGGTGTGTGACGTGCTGAGCAGGCAGGCAGAAATGACAATATAAACTTATATAAACAATATAAATATAAGAACAGGTAAAACTGATGTAGCCCTCCTCAATCCGTCCTGTTCGATGGGGGCAAGGGGTCCCTTCTCCAGAGGGGTTAAAGCAGTAGCTCCTCACCCCTGTGCTTCAGCGCTTCCTCCCCAGGAGACGGGTTGCTATTTTTGCCTCGTTTAACAATTTTTTAAAAATTTTGCTGTTTTTTAAGAAATTCTGTATCCTGCTCTGAAATGAACGCGTGTGGCAGGTACAGGTACATTGACCTACCTACACCTTAAGCACAGGTAATTCTGCACCACACCAGCAGCTCTTCGCCCGCGATCTCCCCGGCCCGCCCGACCCGCGACAGCGCCGTGACAGCCCGGGCGGGCTGTGACGCGGCAGCGCCCGCCATGTTGTGACGGAGCGGCGCCTCCCAGGCGGGTGGGATAACGCGGGGGCTGCACTCGCTGAGTCGCGGCCCATTAGTTCACTCCGGGGGGGCGAGTGACACAATCCCGCTTCGCCCACGCATCACCCCGGGGCTGGCGACACCATCCCACCTCGGCCCCGCTGCCCCGGAGAGAGGGGGCGCGGCCGTGAGAGGATCCCCGCCCCTAACGGGTCTCACTGTGATTGGCACGAACACACCCCTCCTCCCCTTTGATTGGTCAGATGCGTTGTCACTTCGGGTAGGCACGGGCGCTGACTGGCCGGCGTTGGCGGCAGCCCCGCCCCCGCGCGGCCGCGCGGCCGGAGCGGAGCCGCGACCGGAGCCGCCGAGCGGGGGCGGCCTGAGAGTGAAGGCGTCGGGGCTGCGGCCGCGATGGAGCCAAAACCGGCGGATCCGCTGCTGTGCGACAGCCTCATCCTCTGGGTGAGTGGCGCGGGGGTGCTGCCGCCTCTGGGGAACCCGCGGGGGCAGCGAGGAGGCGCAGCTGGCGGGGGAGAGTTCCACCCGTCTCTTCCATCCCTCCGTCCCCGGCCGAGGGTCGGGCACAGGCGCGGCCGCGGCGGTGGGGCTGCCCGGGACACTGTTCTCAGAGCCCGCAGAAGGTTCCTGCGGCACCCCCGGGGTGTGGATGTGGTGGTTGGAATATCGCCTGGGCCCAGTAGTGGTTCTCCGGCGGTGGCTTCAGTGTGGAAGCTGCTCAGTAATTTATAATAATAGTAATAATAATAAATGCAATTAATTTGAATTGGCGGGCGCAGAAACCTCAGAGCGTTTCACAGCAGCTGGTTAAAGCGTGTATTAGTCAGGCACACCACACCTGGGGGTGGGGTGTTACCTGGGCCAGAAGCACCGGTTTAGAGTTGTGGAATCGTTCAGGTGGGAAAAGGCTTTTAAGGTCATCGAGGACAACCGTGTTTGTTAAACTCATCAATCGTTGCTTCCTCTTTATCTTTCTTTCCAGGCTCCTTCCGTGACCTTGTCTGTAAATCTGGTCTTGCAAGTGCAGTGTTTTTGGTGAGAGTGAGCTCTGCTAAATAGAACTGCTGTGTGACAGCTTGGCAGGGGAGGCCACAATTACCTGTGTGAAGGCTTTCTCTAGAAATAGCAGGTGTTTTGCCTCTGTGAGGTGTAAATCATGGAAGAAGGGAGTGTTTTGGAAGCATTGCGGAAATCTAGGAATGAAACTGGCAAAAGTGGTAGCTACTAGAGTAGGTAGTGTTCTTAATTTCTGCATGGCAGCACAGAAGTTTCGAAGAGTTAAAGTTGGTAATAAATCACTGAAAAACAATTTCCTTCTTTTTCTCCCTTAATTTTCCTTTTAGTGACATTCCAAGGTTTTGTTGGTCTGTAGAATTTTGGTTGTCTTATGCTTACCTCTGTGGACCTGGGTTAATCTTTCTGTTTTGTGCTCTGTAACTTTGTATTTTCCTCTCAGTAGTCATGTAAGAATAATTCCATCATGATTCAGTTGCAAAAGAAATCACTGCATTCCTGAACTCTTTCTTAAAATCCCTAAGTCAGCAGTACTGAACTCCTTTATAATTTTTATAATTCCTGCTTAAAATATTTTAAGCCTAATTCTCATTTGTAGTATCTTCACAGTGCATAGCTGTAATTACATCCTGAATCTTAAAGGGAATGTAAATCTGGCCTTAAGATGAGCTTTGTGTCAATGTAAAGGAACATCCAGCCCTGTGTTCAGGTTTTCTATACAACCCTCAGCAGAGGCATTGTCAGCATGTTCTTAGATTTAACACCCTATTTCTCAGACCTAGTTTACAACTTTATAGAAACTGATTGTTAACACTCTAAGATGTGTTTCAAACATCCTTCACAAGTTGAACTTCAGTGTGAATAATAGGGAAAAATGTGGTGTGGGGAGTGGGAATGAAATGCTGGAGAGAAAAGAGTTCTTTAGCTCTATGGTTCTAAAGGTTTCTCAGTTTGCTTACTCATTAATGTAGCAAGCACATGCTTCTGATTTTCTCCATTCTGTTGCCAGTGTCTATTTTTCTCTTTTTATTTTAGCAAATTCTATATTAGAAAACATGCATTATCCAGAGAAGAAAGAGAATTTGAATAAAAACATTTTGTGTTGGTTTTGCAACCCAGGTGTCATTGAATTATGAAGTTCTGAGGATGTTGCAGAAAAAACAAAATGCAGCTGAACTGAGTTTTGGGGGAAATGGAGGGAAAAGATTAACAGCAGTAGGTGTAGTGATGGAACTGGCATTGTTAGTGATGTTAACTCTGTCCAGTGGCTGAGTTTATTCTATCAATATTATGGGGTTAAGAACGGGAATGTTTATTGCTACTCTAAAATCTATTTGTTTGCTCTGTAATCCCCAGTGTGTAAAATCTGGGTATGAAATGGAGAAATTCAACCCCACATTGTCCAGGTGACATTGAGGGCACACCTTCCCGACGTGGAGAGGATGATTTCCTCTGGGCACTGTGAACACTCATGTTTTCATCTGCAGTTGTTTGGTGGTGGAGCTGCAAAATTAATTTTTCAGCTGTTTATTGTGAGCATAATATCTGTGTACATGAGAGAAAAACACTTGCTTCTCCTGTAGTAGCAGGGTGCATTTGGGCTGGAACTCACAAAATGGTTTTCAGTGTGAGTAGCGTGTCCTTGAAGCTATATTTAGTAAAACTAAAAAAATAGAGCACTGCTACAGCCCTGAAGTCTGTGGCTGCTTCTGCCAACCTCCTTCCCATGCCTGCTGCTTTCGTGGGGTTTGCTAGAACACTAAAAATCCATTTTGAGGAAATGATTGGGCTGGCATGAGGTTTGGAGAACCCGTAATTAATACTTCTACTCTCATATTATTTCTAGGCCCTTATGTGACTTTTAAATATAGAGAGAAACAGACTGTCAGTCCTGCTTTATAATTAATTTTAATTAGCTGTTTCTATTCTGGGAGATTCTGCATAAAGCAGTGTCACCTATCATGGGGTTTTCTAAGGCTTTGCTTACCAGGCCCAGGTGAAATGGTAGTACCTGTGCTTAGCAATTCCCTTGGTTTACAGCAGGGTGTATCCACATGGCAGCATCCCAATCCTGTGCTGTGAATTCTGTGGGTTCTGGGAAGCTCAGCCTTTGACTCGTGGTCGTGCCTGTGTTGGTGTGGAGGCTGCTGGAGTAACAGAAACCAGGGCTGTCAGTCACAGCAGCTTTGGGTTGTGGTGTTCCACTTAATCTTTTATGTAACCTGCAAGGGATTACTGACTTCTCACTTCCCGTAATACAAGATTTTAAACTGCTTTTTCAATCGAAAAACAAATGGAAAAACAGTAAAAACAAATCCTTGCTCTGCATATTTTTCTCTTGGCTTGATTTGGCTGTTTTTGAAGCAAGCAAATATTCAGAGTTGTGGTCACTCTTTATAAACACAGACTGGACAAAAACTGCCTCAAATTCTCACAGCTGGAAACTGCTTTTCCATCACTGTGGTCCAAGTAGCTCCATTTCCCAAACACAAGGTCATTCACCAGTGTGTTCTGAAGAAGCCTGTGTTTGACAGAACATTTGGGAAAGCCCTCTTGCAGATGAAAGGTAATTTAGGACACTGACTTCTTAAACCTCCTACATTTATGATTTCCGCAATGGACAGAGATTATAAGGACCTGTACTTGCTCCAATTCCATTTCATGTACACATCTTTCAGTAGCACTAACAGCAAACTTTCTATTTTGTTCATAGTGGTGAAGAAGGCTCTTATTTTCCTGTGATGAACTGACATGTGTATGGAAATGGCTCTCTCACCTAGAATAGTTAGTTCTGAGGTGATTGATTGGGGAGGAATAAAATATTGCAACTCTAAATATACATCTAATTCTGTCATAATGTTAGATATAAGCTTGGGGATAGCTTAAAAAAAACCCCAAAATATCTAAAATGGAGAAACATTTTTAACACTGAGGTAATCCCATCCTACTTCTATTACTAAGTTCTTGTTGTAAAAGACTGGAATTCTTTTTCTCTGCAAATTTCACACCTTATTCTGATACCATTTTTTATTTAGGTAATTATGGCCAGAACTAAGCACTGCAACATAATTGGAGGGATGGATAAATACAGCTGTAGTTTCCCAAGTTATCATTCCATAATTTGATTTACAATAGAAGGTCTGGCATGAAAAAGCAAAGCGTGGGTGGTTGTACTAACTTTTTAAGCTACTAGTCATAACAGTCACAAGTACTGAGATAATTGGGTTGGCTTAAAACCTGCATAGTTCAAAAAGGATTTTAGCTGCCTCAAGTGAAAAGACGTCTTTAACTTAAAGAGGAAAAGGAAAGTGGTAACTAATTTCCTGTCCTTTTGTCTGCTGAATGAGAAACACAGTGTTTTTTCCCTGTTTTAGCTGCAGACCTTCAATACTGCTGCACCTTGCAGAGATGTTCAGGACCTGACTAATGGGGTTGCCATGGCACAAGTGCTTCACCAGATGTAAGTTGATTCTCCAGTTTGAAGAAGAGGTATTTAATTCCTTGAGGTTTTTGTGTCTGACATATGTAGTTGCTTTTAAAGTAGGCAGAAACTCGGAGTGGGCAGTTTATAGAAGAAGATAGAATATGCCTGTGTATTGCTGTTTTGGTGATGATATAACAGTTGAATAATAACATGATGGAGAAGGTGATAAAAATATATATATAAAAATATATATATAAATATATATGTTTTTATATATATATATGTTTATACTGCAGTATAAAGGATAACTAGGCAAGAATGACATGATCTTTTTCACTTTTCCCATCAACACTTGTTGTTGGCATAAGATAATTAAAGACGAGTCTGCATTACCATCTCCTGCTCAAATTGTAATTTTGGTTATTAAGAAATTACTTAAACACCACCACAAACCCCCACCCCCGTAAGAAAACCCCTCCTGAACTCAGAAGCCCTCCTGTCTGCTTGTGAAGATTTAAAATGTGCTGTGTAAGGACAGAAATCATATTTTTCCTGAAACATGGCAAAAATTGATTTAGGATTTGCTGAGGATTGCTTCCCACGTGTTTGGGGTACTGGATTGCCACAGGCTCTGGGCAGACCTCTGCACAGCCAAGTTGGTTCATGTGCAAGTTGGGATAATAATTGTCCTTTATTAGGTGCTTTGAGACCAGTGAATAAACAGTATGTTGTAAAAGTTAATATGTTGTTAAATATGTTGTGATTGTACTGCTTGGCAGCTTGGTGTGTATAAACACCTCCCACAACAACTCATCTTTATTTATGCTGGCAAAGTGAAAAGGCTTCTGAACCAAACACACAAAAAATACAAAATGCCAGTAGTTCAAACTGTTTTTTCAATAAGTGCCTTTTAGAAATTGTGGTGAATGTTAGAAAGTCCAACCTGCAGGAATAGATACCAAACTTAATATCAGCACTAGTCAAAAAGGGATGTTCCTTTGCATCATTCCGATTGCTTTGTCAGGTATAAAAATTCAGCATGGCAAAGATCTACACATCCTTGTGTTCCAGCTGTTCAGGTATAAAAATTCAGCATGGCAAAGATCTACACATCCTTGTGTTCCAGCTGTTCAGGTATAAAAATTCAGCATGGCAAAGATCTACACATCCTTGTGTTCCAGCTGTTCCCAGCTCAAGCACACATGGGAATTCTCCCAGCCCTGGAAGGTGTCTTAATGCAACCAGCAGGATGGGAATTTCCTGTGACATAAGTTTACCTTGCAATCTCCAGAAATTCATGCCTCATTAGACACTGTAGTTCAACACCTGGTGATTTAATGCTGGGAATTTGCTGTCTTATTTAAGTCTGTGCTTATTGATTAATCATTTAATTTTGTTTCAGAGACGTTGCTTGGTTTGATGCCTCTTGGCTAAATCGCATTAAAGATGATGTTGGTGACAACTGGAGAATAAAGGTATTTAAAACTGAAGACAGTGAAATTTATGAAGTCCTGGGATCTAGCAGTCCAAAACCTACAGAATTAAGATCAGGCTTTCAAGCATATTTTAAATGAACTTGAACTGTCTGTTGATAGTTTTAAGTGCCTTCCAGCATTGTTGCATGGGGATTTTCTGTTGGGATATTTCATCAAAATCAAAAATTTTAATTAAAGCTTGTAACTTTGCCTTTCATGCACAACAATTAGTCCAGTAATCTGAAGAAGATACTGCAAGGAATTATGGACTACTACCATGAGGTATGGATTATTGCCCTCCTTCACCTGGCTTTTTTTTTTGTTGGCAAGTGAATTTATCTTAAGGACTTCTTTGGCAGAAAGTGTATGTTGATTATCTGCTAAGTGGGAGGTCTGAGTGAATATAAAATTAATTTGAGCAGATGTATTTTAAATAAGACTCTTGGAGTATAATCTGGAAACCGTGTCTCTGCCCAGGTAAATGTCATAAGGACTGAGCTGCAGAATCCTGTTGACTTTAGTCTGTGCATTCATGTTTGCTCTTGTCTAGAGAAGCTTTAATCCTTTTGTACACAACAGAACAGACTCAGCAACCCCAGTTTAGGTTTTATGATATTCACTTGGAAGCTGAAAGCCAAGGTACAAATCCTTCTGGATCATTTTCTCTGCATGGCTCACCGAGTCCAGATTTTTTGCGTGATACCAGATTTTCATGTTGTACAAAAGTGGGAGTCTGCTTTATCTCTTAATTATTTTTTTCCATTTTTTTCAGTTCTTGGGTCAACAGATTTCAGAAGAGCTTATTCCAGATTTAAACCAGATATCTGAGAACTCAGATCCCACTGAACTGGGCAGGCTTCTGCAGCTTATTTTAGGTTGTGCAGTCAACTGTGAGAGGAAACAAGGTAGGCACTACCTTAACCTGTTCAACAATCACCAGACTTTGACAAGTGATTGTTAAGGTATAAGAGACATAGAAACTTTTTTCTTATGTGTCAGAAAGTCTCTATTTTTAATATGTTACATTCCTATTCTGAAACTGGAGTTCACTTAAAGGAAAATCTGTGGGAAACTTCTTTGGATAAAACTCAAAACTTTGTTCAAGTAGGTTTAAAAAAACAGTCTAAAGCATTTGAGGATTATTTGTACTTATTAAAATAAGATGTAAAACTTACTATTCAAATGCAAATCTAACAAATTAAATTAAAAACTTACATTGGGAACTGTCTCTTGTTTGTCTGCAGAGTCTCAAAATTGAATTGGCTGTTTTCTCTCCCCATACAAGAGCTAATGCTCCATGCTCTGATGGCATTGCTCCTTACTCTGTTATGCAGAATATTAATTTGTGCAGTTAAGAGTTTATAATCTCTTGTGTTTATACCATATTACTGGATAATAATGTTGTTGGTTAACAGTAGTCCTCTGAACAAAAAGACCTGTTCTGAAGGAGCTTTATAGATAATAGTTTCTTCTGGATCTTTCTGCAAACACTTTATCACATTACTCAAGCTGTTAAGATGAACATGGTCATGAGTCACTGCAAATTGTTTTTCACAGAACACATACAAAATATCATGACCCTTGAAGAGTCTGTTCAGCATGTTGTCATGACAGCCATTCAAGAGGTAGGTAACAGTTCACAGCCTAATGCTGTCAGTTGAGAAGTCCAAATATCTATTTGTTATCTTTGACCTTTGCTTGAATGAAAGAACTTACAGGGAAGACTGTAAGTACTTTCCTAAATTATTTGGGAGGTTCAGGACCAAGAGGCCCCAGATTCCAACCAAGGGGTTTTGATTTTAGTCTCATGTGCCCAAACATACAACAAATGCTTAAGATTTTTCATTCCACACAAGAAATGTGTATAGTTGCCAACCACTGATTATACTGGAGTCAGGTTCTGAAATGTCCCAGTGTTATAGTCTTGGTCCCAGAATTAACCTGATTGTGTCTGTGAGGCTGCATTGTTACGGAAGGACCATTCCAGCTTCTGATTTACAAGCTTGCAGCTACATCTCTTCCATTCCTGTTATAGTGTGCTCTTCCTCCTGTTTTAATTTGGTTTTGGTTGGATCATCTTGGAGATCCAGCTCACGGCTTAGCTCTGCAGTCACTCACATTTGTAAGCTTAAGGACTGAAGCAGAGTGTGGAGAAAGGTGTGGAGAAACTAAATACTGACTTTGAAGAAAAGGTGGTGTGTAACTGCAACCTCATCAAGGTGTGAGTGGAGTTGGTAATAGGCTTTAAAACTCAGATTTAAATCGACTGGATAGTCTTTAGAGGTGCAGGGGTCCTATTGGTAGAAAGAAATCCATAAACCTCTTGATTGTTGTCTTCTGATTAATTAAAATTTCTGAAGAAGGTCTAGAAATAATACAGTAATTCCTGAGTGAAAAATAAAGCCCTGTAATTGTTGACAGATACACTGTGTACCTCTTTGTACTGGAGATCAGTGAGAGCAGTGTTAATGTTCCCATTGTTTGCTTAGTGGCAATTAACGGAGTACAAAGAAGTGTGATGACTGTTAATTTAATTGACTGAAATCCTGTCCTCTGGTTCACTCCATTTTAACTTCAACAGATCACAGATTCATCCAATAAGATATTACTGCTAACTTGATTTTTTTTTTGAGGGAGGGAAGGGAGGGAGAGGTAAAAAATGTAATCTTATTCTAGATTTGTTTAAATCCTTTACCAGTCATGAGGTGGGTTTTATTATTACTGTTAATCTATTTTGACATATTGAAGGAATGCAGAATGATATAGTGGAAAATACAATTGGTACTCTGTAGGCAGTGAATTTACAGATATTTAACCTCTAACTTAACCTTTTTTCCTGTGGCCTCCTCTTGTAGCTCATGAGCAAGGAAGTAACGAGTCCTTCCACCTGTGATGCATCAAGTGAAATGGAACAGCAGGTAACTGCCTAATATTTGTCCCTGTTGTAGATCAAACCTGAACAATAAGCTGGTTTCTTGCCATCCTTTAAGTGAAGTAATGTTGTTTTTCAGTGCTAATTAAGTAAAAAGTTATCTGCTGTTCTATAGCTTCTTAAAAAAAAAAAAATCAGTGCCTGCTATGTCGTCTTACTGGATGGGGTAAAACTGGTCAGTGCAAGAAGAGGTGAGGGTACATCAAGGCTCAGCCATGCCAGGCTGAACACTTCAGGTTATTGTTAAGGGGTCATGGAAAGTCTTGATAACACTACAAGTTACACATAAAATGAAACTTGTCTTTACAAGTAGCTGCTCATAAAGGAGCATCAGTATTTCTATTCTAAGATGAAGGGCAGGCATTTCTTTAACAGGCAGGGATTTTGAAATTGTGATCACGTGAATGCTCCTGTATTTGGTTTTGTTATGCCTTTAGCTCAAGTTGCTGTGTTTGCTGTTTTTCAATAATTTACTTGTTACGTGTGGCAGTCACTTAGGAGACAAGTGAAATGAGCAGGGATCCTGATGTAACAGTGTATATATAGGTTTCTGTGTCAGTGTGTGCACCTGACATACTTCTTAAACAGTTCATATAAGCAGTTAAGTTGTTTTGTAAGCTACAACTGTGAGCACTTTGGATATGGGCCACAGTGATTGTCTTATTTCTTGAAAGCTTAAAAGAGCCTTGGAGGATCTTCAGGAAGCGTTAGCAGAAAAAGAAGAGTTGGCACAAAGATGTCAAGAGCTTGATTTGCAGGTAAGAAACAGCAAGTTGCTTACTTCTTTAATATGTAGTGGTGCTGCTATTAAGATGCAGAAGTGAAGGGCAAAGTGAATTTTGCATTATTTAAATTTCTGTGGGGGAGAATTCTTGTGGGGGAAAAGCAATCATTCTGTACTCCAAAATGCAGTTACTGGGGAATGTTTTCCAATGGAAGTGTAAGCTGAGGTCCTGTGCCAGCTGTTACCTCAGATGGTCTTTGATCTCTTACCTTTGTTTACCTTTAGTAGCAGGTAGTGTTAAAACAATGTTCTCATGGTTGTAAAAATTGCCCTTCTCATTTTTAATCAGTTTCCTCTAGTCTTTTGTACTGTGTCCAAAAAATCCAGTTCATGTAATAACCAGTCATTAGATTTAATCACAGGAAAACGATGCTGTTTGAATAGGAGTTGATGAAAGACTAAATTTTGAAATTTATCTAAAATTTGTTAACTTTTTGTCATGCACAAGTGTAGCATGGAGGATACTTTTGGATAAAATAATGGAAACTAATAGATCCTTGCTGACTTTTTCAAACAACACTAATAATAGACCTATTTTTGTTTTTAATGGATATAGCAGTTAATCAAGTCACTCTTGAGAAAAAGTAGAGAGGATTTTGTAACAATAAAGAGAAATTTGCATTTCAATCAACTTTTTAAAGGAAAAAAAGAATCCATTTGATACTCTTAAGTGTGATTCCTCTTTTATGGCACAATAATCTGAGAATAGAAAGAGTTTTATCTGGCAAGGCACTTCATCTCAAATTTGGCTCTGCACAAAGAGAACATTTGGATTGTATCTTCTTAGAGGAGCCAAAGGGCTGTACTGGCTGTGTGAGCATCTGAAAATGAACACCCACAAAAGCAGAGGCCAGCTTTACGTTTCTCACAGGCAGTGACAATTGAAAAAGTTGAATACTTGTATATGAAGTAGCTCAGAGCTAGTTGCCATGCCCAGGAAGCTATTGTTATAATGGAATTGCTATTTAATTTTCTTTTTTCTTGAGGCAGCAGTAAGGCTTCCTAGTGAGAACAGAGATATAAAACTGAACAGAATCTGCAGAAGTCCCGGGCTTTCACCTGTCTCCCACAAACTTGTCTTTCCAGATTTCTCTATTAATTAATCATAAGTTATGCAAAGCCAGTTGCTCATAACATAGTATGGGACAGGTGAAAGGTGTTTAAGGGAAAGGTACTGCTGAGTATAAACAGAGGAGTTAATGTCACCACACTCTGTAATACTGTGATGTGTGTTTAAAATATCTCTCTATAATCTGTGATGACTTTGACACCACTTCTGTTATGCTGAAATAATAAAAAACTATCAGAAAAGAACTGAGAAAAGATGTAAAACTTGCTCCGAGTTGTGTCATAGTTTGATTTTAAGGTTTTTTTAAGTCTGACATGGGAGATGTCTTAATGTTATTCTTGAAGTCTGAATGTTGCACATGCTTAAGGAGTGGCTGAACCTTAAACAGGAAGTGTTTTGCTGAGCAAGGCTCAGATATGCTCTCTACTCACAGATGTTTCTGTGAATGCAAATAGTAAATTACATCTGGTATTGTAAAAAAGGAGTGAACCCAGAAAGCCAGCACCTAATGAAGTGGTAGATTAACTACTGTTTGATTTTTATATCTGTTTGACTGATAGACTTTAAAATTATGATCACAAACAAATTGTTTCTTAATATTGCATACTCTAGGTTGTATCTATTTTATAATATCATGATATGTTTTTTTAATTTTATTTATTTGAAGCCGTAATATTGACTGACACTTCTCATTTAAACTAATTCTTAATAAATTCACTTGTAAGGTCTCAGTCTTCCTTGATATTTTCCAAGAGTATAAGAAAGGTAGGTTTACTTTCTGATTCAGGAAAACATAACCCAAAAAGCATATTGTCCCTGTTTAAATGCCAGTTGACTAACACATGCTACGTGCTCTTGTGTTTGACAGGACGTTAAAATTAACACAACAGCTTTCACTAGAAAAACTTTAAAGGTTCTACCCTCCTAATCCTTCCCCATTTTATGGCTGTTAATATACTTCCAGTGAAGTGTTGTATCCTCATTTGCTTAGCTGTGAGCACCCAGTATCTGACTGTTGCCCAGTGCATGCTCTCTCTGAAGCTGGCCAGGTTTTCTTTTGCGTGTGTGCTTACGGCGCCTGAAACCGCTTCCGAACCCGCAGCCATTCACTGCTGAGCACGGCAGTCCCTGGGTGTGCTGGCCATGCCATCCTGCTGCTTATTGTCCAGTACAAGCAAGATGGAGAGTAACCTTTGCACCAGTTCTGGAGTTTTTTGTACGGCGTCCGTGGTGTTTTTAATGAAAGTTCCAGTTCCTCTCCATATCACTTTGTGTGCCTTTACTGTGGTTTCAGTTACAAAATATTGTCTTTTTTTTTTTTTAGAAGGACTTTTCCTTTAGTGCTTCATAACTGTCATACACTAAAGCATCTGTATGCTCAAGTGTGCTCTGTAAAACTACATTCTAAAATTTCTAAGCGCTCAGCCTTTTTCATAAACTAATTTGGTGACATCCTGCTGCCTTGCTTGAGTTCTTTGGACAGGTCTTACAGTGTTGATGCTGTTTTATCTGTACTAGGTAGCCGCCCTCCAGGATGAAAAAAACAGCTTGATGTCAGAAAATGAGATTATGAATGACAGACTAGAGCAATTAGACGACTCTCTTGATGATCCAAATACTGTGGTTGCAAAAAAGTATTTCAATGCACAGTTGCAGCTGGAGCAATTGCAAGAAGAAAACTTCAGGTATTAAATTATTTCCTTCAAAAATCCCTCACTTGTCTAATATATCCTGAGAATTTCTGATACTCTTTTGAGATTTTCCATCTCAATTTCTATTGCATTAAAAGCTTTCTAGTGCTGTATAAGCATATTTTAAAGACAGTCCTTATATTTAAAAAGAAAAAGACACTGTTACTTGTAAAAGATATTACTTTGGTAATATACTTTGGTATAGCCCTCTGATACTTCAAAAAAGGAGAGGGAGGACAGAAAATGAATGCTCAAGTGATTGGTGTATAAACAAAACAAACCCCAACCCGCCTAACACCATCATATCTCTTTACTGTACTCTTTTCTTTCACATATTAGTCTTTCTCTCTGTGATACGTAGTGGGGGAAAATCACTTTTCATGTGATCCCTTCATACTGATGTGGCAGATTTGTAGTGAACAATCCATTATGATTTAACAGGTAGACAGTAAAAAGGTCCATGTTTACAATACCATTTTTCTAGTGACTTAACAGTTTTCCTTTGTCTTATTTTTAATAATTCTAGCACTAAATGAGAACTGTATAATAACAAAATTTTCCTAACAGAGTTCCTGTTTTTGATCTGGTAGGCTTGAAGCTGCAAAAGATGATTATCGTGTCCATTGTGAAGATCTAGAAAAACAACTGATTGAACTGCAACATAGAAACAATGAACTGACCTCTCTGGCAGAAGAATCTAGAGCCTTGAAAGATGAAAATGATATTCTTAGGTATGTAGTAGGGGGAGCTCCACATACACACACATTAGGAGGATTTAATGACTAAATCCAAGGCTTTATATTTAACAAGATTTTTTGGAGGTGTTACTTCTGCAGATCTTACCTGGATGAGGTGTTTGACAAAGCAGAGATGAAGTGGAAGCTTTCAGGCAAACCTCTGTTGTTTGACAAGAATAACACATAGAATTAATTAAAGCAGAATTAATGACTACAGAACTTATACTTCTTCATGTGGGATGGAAAGTTGAAGTTCTAAAGTAGAAAAGCATATATACAGCTAGACACAATTTTGGTGTCAGCATTCTAGGCCAGATTTAGGTTAGGGAGATCATTAACAAAATGAAGATGAAATACAAAGTAACCTCTATGAGAATTTAAGGTAACATTCCAGCTTGTGTAAACTGTATAAAATACCAGACCACCCAAGAACTCACACTGTGAAAGCAGGTCTGCTATTCATAAAATATTATCAATAAAACATAAAAGAAAATTGGTTTCAGGGGCTTAACTTACAGTGATTCTTAAGTAATATCTGAAACAAATGTTAACTATAGATTTTTTTTCCAAAATTTTTTGTACCAGTTTTTAATGATATGAGAATGCAGATATTAAACACAAATATTAGAATAATTTGAAATTTATGATTCCAGTATTTTCTTACTGTGTGGATTTTTGTTAGTGATAAGCTGATTAAGTCTTGGTCATATCTGCTAATGACCATTCTCATAGTGCAATTATGTTTTCATTATGTATAATCCCACAATGAGAACACCTGTGTGGTTTTCCTTCCCAGGTACCAGCAGTTTGAGAAGACTATCTAGCACAGGGTGTGGTGCATTTACATTGCACCTCACAGAATTCCCCGGGGGTATTTGACACACTAACCCTTGCTCATACCTCTTGCATACAACTGTCAGTCTTACTCCCACTTAAACCCTGTGCTGATTTCAATTTTTATGAGCAAGTTTATGCTGATTATACATTTAAAAATAAAGCAGTAAGATGTAAGTGCTGCTAAGCGTGTTGCATCTCTCTTTGAAAATAGCTTGAATGCTCATGACAGCAGAATTGGGCTTTTGTAAGCTTTTGAAGAAACATGCTCTCTGTTCTAATTCCTGTTCATACTTTAAGGGCTACTGCAGACAAGGCAAGTAAGCTGGAATCAACTGTGGAAGTGTATCGGAAGAAGCTGCAGGATCTGAACGACTTCCGCAGACAGGTCAAGTCGCTGCAGGAGACCAACATGATGTACATGCACAACACAGTCAGCCTGGAGGATGAGCTGAAGAAAGCCAATGCAGCACGAGCCCAGCTGGAGACCTACAAACGACAGGTGAGGCCACACTTACACTGGATATATTAATTTTTCCTCAGATACTTGGGAACAGCTTAATGTAACAGCCCATGGGCTTAACCTGTGTCATCCCCTTAGAATTTCTTATTTATGAAAACTCTTTCATATGCTACCATTCACTTCTGGGGTTTTCCCCTGTTTGTTAAACTGGGAAGCTTAACTGGCTGCCCTCTCAACTGATGTGAGAGTCCATGGTTTGCGAACTTTTCTTTTTTACTGTCTTCTGGGAGAGGTTGCTCAGCTATTACTGAGGTCACTTGTAAGGAATCACAGAATCACAGAATGGTTTGGGTTGGAAGGGGCCTTCAAGATCATCTTGTTCCAACCCCCTGCCATAGGCAGGGACACTTTCCACTAGACCAAGTTGCTCCAAGCCCCATCCAACCTGGCCTTGAACATTTCCAGGGATGGAGAAGCCACAGCTTCCCTGGGCAACCCTCACAGGAAAGGGCCTCACCACCCTCACAGGAAAGAATTTCATATATCTAACCTAAATTTTCTCTCTTTACAATCTGAACCCATTCACCCTTGTCCTGTCACTACATGCTTGTATTCTTATATTTCTTCATGGAAATGTATTTTAAACTGTAGTTTTATTTTAATTTCAGTAGTAATTAAAAGAGAGAGTTAAATATAAAAAAAACCCCAAACCAACCAACTAACAAAAAAAACCCCAAAGCACACAGGCTCCTGTCCCATCTTCCCTCTCATAAGCTTGAGGGACTAGCTTTTTTATTTTAGCTGAACTGGACAGGAGTGACTGTTTTAATATAGCTTTCAGAAGTAGCATCTTGCAATATTCATACACTGTTTTTCTGAAAAGGTCCAAGAGCTTCATAACAAACTGTCTGAAGAATCCAAAAGAGCTGATAAGCTGGCATTTGAAATGAAGAGACTTGAAGAAAAACATGAAGCTTTAATCAAAGAAAAAGAGGTAAGTCTCTCTAAGGGAGTTTATTTGAGCACCTAATGTCTCTCTTAAATGCTCTACTGGAGGAAAATCTTCCTGGAATTAGTTATCTTCATAAAAACTGTGTGTGTGTGTGTGTGTGTGTGTGTGTGTGTATACACATATAATAAAGAATCATGGAATCATCCAGGTTGGAAAAGACCTCCAAGATCATCAAGTCCAACCTGAAAAGTGCATGTGTCAATATTAGTTCTACTTATTGTTATTTGCTCTTAAAATGGAGCAGTTTGACTTAACTCCACCTCAAATCTGTCTTGTTAGAGACTGATAGTGCAGTGTGATGCATTAAAAGAAACAAATGAAGAGCTCCGGTGTTCACAGATGCAGCAGGATCACCTGAGTCAAACAGGTATTGCTGTACCTTCAGAGGCTTTTTTATTTGTATTAGAGATTTCTTTGAGTGTGTTAATTAAACTTCCCATGTGATTTCAGGTGGCTCTCGTGTTAAAAGCCATGAGAATCTTGCTGCTGAAATTCTGCCAGTGGAATACAGGTGAGACCAAAAGGTAGAGGTTGTTTTGGGATGTTCATGGGTGGGGCTTGTCGCTGTCTCCAGGAAGGATCATGACTCTGTATCCCAACTCCTGCTTTGCCTCCATGATGCTTATTCAGACCACCATGTAGCCGTTAATTATTATTTTCCTATACTACAATTAATTTTTCTTAAAAACATATCAGATTGATGTAAATAAATCTGGGTTTGGAGTGACAACTTAAAACTTTGTTCATATCTCTTACAATTTGCAAACATCACAATATTTAAAGTTACCTTTTAATAAAAAATTGCAGTGTTACCCCAATTATATCATTAAGCAGAACTTGATTTACTCACACTTTAAGGCTGGGAGAGCGAACAGGAATATTACTTCTTCCTCTTCGTCACCTTCTTAATTAACAGGGACTTTTTTTGGGGTTTTTTTGATTCAGAGAAATGTTTATTCGGCTGCAGCATGAAAATAAGATGCTCCTGTTGAAACAGGAAGGGTCAGAAAATGAGCGTATTGCAGAGCTCCAGGAACAGCTGGAGCAGAAGCACCGGACAGTGAACGAACTGGAAACTGAGAAAAGGTGAAACTACATCTTAAAACACAGCAAAAAGTGATTTCTGGAATTTGAGAGTGGCCTTGTGGCCTGTATCTGTAGTGTAGCACCGTGTAGGAAGCCAAGTACCTTTTCTTTCACCAGTGTAACCATAAATGAGACCTTGCTTTTAGGACACTTTTCTTAGTTCTGAGTGATTCTTGAGAGTAGACCAAGAGTAGATATAAACTCTATTTCTAGAACTTCAAACTGCTAGACCATGGGATATGGTCTGAATTTCTCTATCAGTTAATGCTGAAAGCAGTTCATTAGAATATGAGAGTTTTTGGTAGTTAAGGTTTCTCAAAACTTAAAACGATTCATTATAAAATGTTGACTAAAGCTCCATGTGCTTGTTTCAGCAGAAGTTCAAGTGAAAACTAAAAATCAGTTTCTTTGTGGCTTAAGTCCTCCTGGATCTACCTCTGAAAAACTGTTATCCAGACATGAAGCAGAAAAATTTGTTTCTGATCTATACAGATGACCAATAACTGTCTTTTCTTCCTAAAAGGCTGAATGAAGAGCGTATTGGGGGATTACAGCAGCAGATTGAAGATCTGCAAAAGACTTTGCAGGAGCAGGGATCTAAGACTGAAGGAGTAAGTAGAAGTTCAGGCTTCTTGGCCTTGAACACATACCAGTTTTGTTTTAAGTCCTTCAGTGTAACATCAAGCCCTTTGTTTAGATGTGCAGCTTATTTTTCAATGTGTCTGAAAAACACACTACACCAACTGTATTTCAATTGAAAAGCTCATGTTTTATGTGATTCCTTTCCTCCACCTTCTTTAAGGAACTGTAACTCTTCTACCTTCTACATTTAGTTTTATCAGTCAATAGTGGTATAACGAGAGGAAGAGCTTTAAAGAAAAGGATGTGGAATTGATTTCTGTGCAATGCAAAAAAATATGAATGTAGTTACAAAAATGCAGTTTCCTTAGCACAAGTAAGTCAAAGCAAATAAATACTAAGTATTCTTGGCTGATTTGTAAGAGCACTTTAAAGTTGCTTGGAATGAAACACTGAAATATAACTGAATTTTAACTCTTCCCTTTCATAGTCCAGCAACCTGAAGCAGAAGTTGGCAGCACACATGTAAGTAAGGCACATGCATCCACAACAGCTTATTTATGCTAAATACAGCACAGAAACTGCTTAAATCTTTGCAGGGATGTCTTGTCTTTCTAAGCCACTGATTTGGGAATCCTGCATAAAGTGAGTAAAGTATTGGTGTTCTGGTTTTGTCTACTCTGATCATGATGATCTGGTAATACTAGTACCACTTAACTGTCTTAACCACCACTAGCATTTTAAGTGTTCTGATTCTACAACAGACTGCTAAAAGCATCACTGTTACTGGGCTCAAAACATATTCCATTCTTCTGGAATACTTCCATCCTCTCAGCAGATGTACTTCCTGCTAAGGAGCTGCTGGAGGGGTTTAATTGTTCATTTTTTCCTAGTTTTAGGTAAATGAGACTCAGTTCAGGAGTCACAACTTTTATGGTTCTTCAAAAACACATACTGATATTTCTGTTTAAACTCAGAAGAATTGCCAGAGCTTAAAATAGTTATTTAAGCACTTCTGCCATCAAGTTTCAGCTTCCAGCTCTTAAAACTGCAAGGAATTATTTGTGAGCTTAAGCCTTAGTCCAACCTTTCATTCATAGGGAAAAGCTGAACGAAGTTCATGATGAGTTACAGAAGAAAGAGGCTGATCTTGCAGAGCTCCAGCCTGATGACAGTCAGAACCGTAAGTTGTTTTGTGTGGGATTTTTGGGCTTTTGGCTTTCTTTTTTTTTTTTTTTAATAAGTTAAGTGTCTTCTGAAATGATTCCCGTAGCCAGTGGACTATGGGATACTTGTCTGGATAGGGGTTTCTGCTACAGCTTAACTTTAAACATGAAATGGGGTGTATGGAGGGAATTTTTTTTGTGCCTGCTGGTGGGCAGGGAGAGGATCCTGTTGCACAGCACTCTGCCAAATGGGAATTCAGGGTCAGGTGGGACAACTGAGACAAAAATCATAACTTAGAGAACTCTGTAGTAGCCAGAAGGTTTATTTTGAGAGTGTTGAAATCAAGGGAACTCAGAAGCCTTGAAAGTACCACATCTGTTTTTATTTTGTATGTCTTTGTTGGTAATTTCTGTAAACAGCCCAGAAGATTGGAGAGCTGGAAGCAGCTTTACGAAAAAAAGATGAGGATATGAAAGCAATGGAAGAAAGATATAAAATGTACCTTGAGAAAGCAAGAAATGTAAGTGGCTTATTTCTGAACATACACATTCCTCCCTCATAAATTGTTAAACAGATTGATTTGAATGTGTGTGTCCCCACCTCCCAATTAAAAATGGCATTCTTAATCAAATTGCTCAACTGCAGTCAGTTAAGTGTATGAGAGAATGGGGTTTATACTAAACATGAGGTACATTGATAATTCCTTTGTACCCTTTGGTCTCTGTTAACAGTGTAACAGCCTAATTTTCATCATAATTCCCTGAGCAGTGCCCAGACTGTTTCCATATTCCTTCTCTGAGCAGATGAGGTGCAGAGCTGTTGAGAATCAAACCTGACTTGTTATGCTCTTGTTTTTTGCCTTATCCAGGTGATAAAAACCTTAGACCCCAAGCTAAATCCAGCATCAGCAGAAATTATGTTGCTCAGAAAACAGATACTGGAGAAAGACAAAAAAATTGAAGCACTAGAGGTAAAAATTTTACATATATTTAGTAACAACTTGTAATGTGTTCTGTCCTGATATTAGACAGTCAAGATACTGTTTCCTAATGATTCAGTAATGATTCAGGATTTCAGCTTGGCTGAAATTCTGAAAGGATTGTTGACGGTAGTCCAAATATCAAAAAAAATGGAGAAATGCATTCAGTTTTACAGCAATATTGATGGGTCTAGTTAAATAGTTACCTGGACAAATACAGAATTTCTCAACACAGATGAGTAGGCTGATAGGTCTAACTATATATATGCTGTGGCCTCAGATTGCTTTTATGCAAGATGTTCTAAGTATATTATATAATAGCAGTTCAGTAACACAATAAGAATAGTCAGCTGCTGGAAGTACATTCTTGTCTTTTCAGTTGGAAAGATTACTGAATTATTTATAGACTTTCTGATACACCCCACACAAACCCTCAGAGTATATTTCTGAGTTGTTTCTGTGTTTTTAACTGCAACTTTTATGAAGTTTAGCCTCTTTGAAGTAGTCTGATAATTTATCTCTCAGTCTTTAATGGAAGTATCTTTATTTATACTTCTAAGCTTTCTAGTTATTTTGCATATTGAAGCATTTCTGCTGCCTCTGTTTCACTCTATGGGCTGCCATAAGTTTATGCAGATAAAATTTGTGTTTTAATTGAGCTTATCTTCCCTCTTGTCTCCTTGTAGAATGAATACAAACTGGCTAAGCTACGTGATTATGAGGAAAAGCTAATTGTAACTGCGTGGTATAACAAGGTGGGTCAAAAATTCATTTGTTGGTGTATCAGAAAAACATATTTTGCTAAATGCGACAGTTACATTTCAGTTAATCTAAGAAATCCAGTAAAAGAATTTCTGTGTGCATACTAAATAAGGATGAGCTTTGTGTATGAAAGATGGCAGGGCTTTTTTCTTCCGTTTTTGCTATTATTTAAGTTGTTGTTTAACTGTTTTGCAGAGCCTGACTCTGCAGAAGCTGGGTATGGAAGCAAGGCTGGTTGGCAGCAGTGGTGCCTGCAAAGATGGGCCTGGACGCTCCTTCCTGGCTCAGCAACGTCACGTCACCACCAGCAGGAGGAATCTCACTGTTAAAGTACCAGGGGCAACATCTGATTAAACCACAAGGACCATGAGGAAAACTTACCTGCTAAAGTGTCCTTAAATGTTTTATAGCTTCCACTTTACTTGAGGAAAGAGGAGGTTAGAACTGGGCAGCTGCAAATTCAACATCAGAACTATCAAGGAGTGATTAATTTCACCAGTGGTGTGTGTAGAAGGTAGCACGTAGTTTTCCAAGTAGATTTGATAACTGCAGTACCTATTTACAAGCACAACGTAAAAGATTTATATTTGCCTTCAGATTATATTGTAAATATGAAATTTGGCACTATATATTTAAAACTTTATTTAATGGGTTTGGGCTAGAAAGTTGACTTTTATAATGGGAAGATGTTATGCAAAAATTTACTTCAGGAAACTGGCAATATTGGGCATTTTTGCTGGGCTCTTCTAAAAATAGATTTAAAAGATTGGTACCATGTTTTAAAATAATACAGGTTTTTTTAGAAAGAAAGTACAGTTTTAAATGCAAGAAAATACTTGCATTTATAGAAAAAGAAAATAAAGGTATAGTACCAGTACAGAAGACGGGATTTGTTTCGTAAGAAGCAGAATTACTCAGTTTAGTTAAAAAAAAAAGCTTAAGTTTGTGCATATACACACTAAAGAAAACATGTCTTTAAGATGCTGAATTCACTTAAGCCAAAAAAGCTTGTCTTTTCCTGTGTAAGAGAAAGCTATAATAATAATTCAAAAGTCTGGGCTGTATTTTAAAGTCTGGCATATTCATATGCTGCATTTATTTGCAGAAGGGGAATTAGGTGGGAAGGAGCCCCATTTATTTCAACCTATTTATACAACCCTGTGCATGGAAATTAATTTTTCTTTTTTAAATGTAGTTTTCACTTCAGTTATTCTCAACTGAGTACTAGGCAGAGAAATGAAAGATGGCTTTGACAGTTGTTGGCAGTGAGAGAAGTGCATAAACTATAATAGTGTGATAGAAGATTGAAAAAGGGATTGATATCTGAAATTTGTGTGCAGGAAGTTGCTGTCTTTCACAGAATTTGTCACTTTATTTTCCAAATGTCTTATTTTTGTTTTGAATTGTATTTTTAGGAAACCTGTCAATGTCTGTTCTTCTTTGCAGACTGTCTAGAACAAATTCATTATGCCAGTAGTTAAATGAAATAAAATTGCAGCAGCCTGTAAAATAAAATGAATACACTTAAACTAAGTATTTGAGGATGATGTACTAGAGCATCATCTAATACAAAACTCAACCACATTTGTGAATGAAAACACACCTGTCTCACCATATTTGATTTGAGAGCAGAATTCAGCTTTGCAGAATTTAAGTCTTGAATTATGAAATTTGGGTAGTCTTTCATTTTACATGCCTCTCACTGTGGCTTGTCATTTGATTTCTAAAGGCAAGTATTAATTTCTAATACTTAAGGTTGCTTCTTAGTTGTGGTGGTTGTTTTACAGTGCTGTACATTTAGGCATTCAACAGATTTCCTCCTTCAAAAAGCACTGTTTAAAAGCCAGTCTCATGCTATATATGTTGTGAGAGCAGAGAACGTGCCAGACAAGTGGCTGTTGGAGAGTTTTGTCTGTCTGGTGCTGTTCTTTGGGACTCTATGCTTGGACTACCTCTTGGGTTTTGAGGTCTTTTATTGCTGCAGTGATATTAGTGGAGTTTGTGTTTTTAAGATACAGTTGCTTGTTCACTCTGCTGGTAGTGTGGGAGATGGTGGTGAGCAGTGGAGCAGGAGATTCAGTCTTAGCAAGATGCTTACATTCCTAAAGCCTGGTCTGTGGTGTGGTGTAGTGAAATGTGAAGCTGTCACTGATGATGTTGAGTGGGTCTCTTAACCCTCGTTCTTTGCAGCATGGAAACTTTCATGGACGTCCCTCAAATACTCATCTAGTTTGTAGGCTTGATGCATTTGTTGTACTTCTCACAGTAGTAGAGCTGTGTCAGTCAGTGTCTGTCAGGTGCTGAATAGTGACAAACTTGGAGCAAATGTCTTTGACTTGCACTTCTCAAAACTGCAGACCCTGGGACCAAAAATAAGCAAGAACCTCCTTATCATTTAATTGGAAGTTTGTCTTCTAACTAGTGATGGAAGGATTTCAATCCCAAACTACAGGCAGGGATCAGCCTTTTTCAGGGCACACTTGTCCCCATAGTCTCGTTGGGGTTGCCAAAAATTAATCAGGTTTTCAGATATTGAATAAAATGTTGCTTATTTGGGACTTTTCCAAACTGTTAGAAGTTAAGCCTGTGAATATAACTTAAGGGTTTCTTTAGGATTGAGAACCTGTTTAAGAGCAGCTGTTCTACAACTGGTAAAACTTGGGTTATGTCCTATTAATGAGGAACTGATCTTTAGAAATAAATATTGGATTATAAGCCATGGTGGTGTGTTCACTTCAGCTCCTCTGGCTGTGCAGGAAGGACCATTAGATGAGTATAATTTTAATGTTTGCTTCATTCATGTCAAACAGAAAAGCTACTAATACCATTGCGTTTTACAGCCCAGTTGTATCCAACATGTAGCAGCAGAGCTCTGTCAATAGGTGTCCTTTTATGCACCACTGCTGAGGCAGGACAAAGAAAGAGGCCACTGTCTCTGCTGCAAGATGAATTCATACCATCCCATCAGCACAGTTAGGAACACATCCAAATATGAGGTGAAATCACTGAATACTGGTGAAGTTAAACAGGATTATTAGTAATTTAGCCAGTTTCCAGTAAAACGGGTAATACAGATCCAAAGAAACAACAAATATGTTCTGATTGACATATCATTTGTTAATTATTTTTTATATAAGATTACTATGGAAGAGAAGTTTTATAGCAATAATACAAATTCTGGACTAGTGAGTTCTTTTACTCAAGATGGGTCAGGCAGCAGTTTTGAGAAGATTCTTTTGCAACAACTTTATTATAGTGGATTAAGAAACATTCACTGAAAATAAAATTTTCACCTGATTTTTTGGTTCATTAAAAATATATATATATGGGTATTTTATTTTATATGATATACAATTACTTGGAAATAAGTAATATAAGCAATACTGATGTTCTATTTAGGTAGCCATAAATAGATTAGAAATTAGAAAATAAAAACAATTGTTTAAGAGTTGGTAATGTCTAGTACAGTAATTTTCTTACATGTTTCTTTTTTTCCTTCCCCTAATGCTAGACTTAAAGTTTTCGGTGTATCGGTGTCTACATCTTCTGTTTAAAACAAATGTAAACACTGTGTTGCATAGAACTTGAAAATTGCACTAATTTTTAAACTTTTGGTTTTATTTTTTTCTTTGGAAAGAGTTCTTTTATATTCACATAAAGATTTTTAAAATTAATTCTTTGTTGTCTTTATTCCAAGAAATGAGTTTAATGGTCCCTAGTTGATGTAAGCATCTGTATTTCTGGGCAACATGTGACCTGGATCAGCATGTTGATAACACTTATACCACCTAAATGTCATGTGCTGGGATGTGTAACGTGTGTATAATGAGGGTATGGATGTAATGAGTTGTGCTACCTTTCCCTCCTCTTCTCAGTTCTTTCCTGCTCATATTTCTGCTCCCACCCAAAGCTGGTTCCCTCTGCTCAACCTGCAGTCAGTCATCTCAGAGCTGGGCAAGGGACTTTGGGAGGTGAAAAGCCTAAACCCTACTACAGATAAACTGTCAGGTGACTTCAGGAATTGCTTACAGCTACTGAAGGAGGGGAGAGTATCTGCCTGTTGTCAGCCCCACCTGAGAGGACACAGAACAGGTACCTCTCTAAATCACTGTTTGCTGTTATTTGGAACAGAAAGCTGACTGCCCTCTGCAGCCTGCTTTGCAAGTGATTTAAGTACTCCACTGTTAGTCTCACTGTAAGCTTTCTTGTTCCCTGAGCTCCAACCCAGAAGTGATGCTGGGGAAGATCAGGCAGCCTTCAGCCTTGCAGAGGGAAGACCTGAGGATGAGGACCTGTGATGCCTCAGTGTGGAAGGGCCTTTGCACTGGCAGAAATCCTGGTGAGCATGAGGTGAACAACCACATACAGAAGAACTGTTTTTTCTGCTTTCTGAGACTAGATGTAAAGGCAATTTCAGACACTGAAGAAAAAAATGTGCAGGTGTGTGTCTGAGGGAGAAAGGAAGAGAGGAGGCACTCAGCTGTGCAGGAAGCCTGAGCCGAGCTGTGCTCAGCCCTGACCCTGTTTACTTACGCCTTTTCTGGTAACTCCTGAAGAGCCAAGCACTGCAGTGGGAGGTTTGTATGTTTGTGAGAGGGGGGCCCTGGAGGAGAGGTGCAGGAATAAAGCCCGGAGTGCAAAGACAAGGAGTTGAGGTAACCGTGTGTGGGAGATGGTTTTGGTGGAGAGGGCAAAATATTCAAGAAGCCTGTGAGATGTGTTTTTCTCTCAAAGTACAACAGAGGCCTGGGGAGGAAGCTTTTGGATATAGCAGCAGCTTGGGAAAGGAAATGGGAATCTGAGCCAAGCATTAGGGAAACAAAAGTACCACAAAACAGTCAAATAACACGTGCGAACTGAGAGTGCTTTGAAAGTAATGCTGCACACAGCAGACACCTGTCACTGCTCCCCCTTTCCCAGTTCCCAGTCAATTCCAGGCACGCAGCCTACCTCCAACCTTCCCCTTCTGCTTCTCCCAAGAAAGGAAAAGAAAGGATGTAAGGTCTAGAAAGTCAAATAGACTGTCTTGTTTCTGCTGTCGAGGAAAGGTGTGGGAGCCCTGTGGCAGCAGCAGGTGGGAGGGCAGCTGGCACAGGGAGAGGAGGTGTTGGGAGCTGGGGTTGGGAATGACCAGGTTCTCACTAGAACTGGGATGAGACAAGTCTCCTGCACTATATAAATGGATTGGTTTGGGTCCCACCATGTGTTATCGCATCTCCCCCTTATGGATCTGCAAAACAGCTTTGAGTGCCAGAAACAGCATCTTACTCCAACCTCTTGCTTTCACCTGGCACAGAACCTCCCCACCAAGCCCTGTGCTTGATGGAGCCTTGCCAGAAGCTGTGTTCACTTGGGAGAAATTTGCTTCCTCTAGGAATACGTGAACAGTACTCCAGGGAAAAAAATTAAGAGGAAAAGATTGCTTTCTCCCCATTTCCTCAGCAGGTGAGCAGGAACTGGAGTGTGTGTTACTGGTGCTGTGCTACTTTCCTGCCAGGCAGCCCTGGTCCCGCTCCCAGGAGCTGCAGCTTCTCATGCCTGGAGGCCTCACCAGGATACTGTGGTGCAGCCATCACCCAGTCAATGCTTTTACTGGTGTTAACCATCAGTTGTGAATCTTGGGACTGTTTCACCTTGCATGTGATTGTTTAAAATAGTAATTTATTGCTGGTGTTTTCCAAGGGACCCTCTTTCTCATTAGAATCTTGAGTGCATCATGTGTTGCTGGAGCTCACCCCTCTGCCCCTGGACACACCAGCCACTCAGTGATGCTGGGCAGGTAAACGGGGATGATTTTGAATATCCTAGTTCTAGTTTATGTGTTCTGTCAGGGTCATTTATTTCCATCAGTTCATCAGAACTGGCTTTGCTGTTACAGTGCTAGCCTCCTGCAATGCTGCAGCAATGTGGGCAGTCCAAAGGCTACAGCCAGTGCTGGACATGGCCTGTGTTGGTCTTTACTTTGCAGAATGCTTCATGCCAAAAATGTTTTGGTAAACATTTATTGATGCATAAGAGAGAGCTGTTAGAGAGAGACTTTTTTTTTTTTTTTAAAGGAGTACATTTCCTTAAAATGATGATGAATTACTGCTTGTATTCTTGTATTAGTGTTACAAAACAAGGGCTGGTATTGCTCTTCGACTGTACACAGCCACAGCTTCTACACTGCAATCTCTCAAGTGTCCCTCATTTTGCCTGGGTGAACTATGGCCATCCATCATAAAATTAGGAAGGCCCCAAACCTCTCATTCATTTACAGTGCCATAGGGCCTGAAAGTGCCCTGGCAGCTCCCAGGCTGATGATGTTTCCCATGGCAAACAGAGCACAAGGTCCACATATAAAGGAAATTATTTAGCAACTGCTTTGAAAGAAACAAACAGCCCTGCCTCTCCCTTGAGCAGAGCAGAGCTGCCAAGGGCTTGTTTTCAGCACTCCTGACAAAGGATTTTCCCTGTGAGGATTGTGGCTGAGGCTTCCCTACCGAGGCACAGCGCAGATCTTGTAGGGCTGTGGGGCCATCGTGATGCCCATCAGGGGGTGGAGGCTGAGTGTGGTGTCTGGGGGTGCCTGGAAGGTGAATTTCTGGAGCAGAGACGTGAAGAAGAGGAAGAGCTCGGAGCGGGCCAGCACCTCGCCCAGGCAGGCGCGCTTCCCTGCGGAGACAGCAACCCACGGCATCCTCAGACTGAGCTTTTGCTGCTGGAAAAGCTTCTGCCTTCCCTCAGGACCATGGTCCCTGATCCCTTCCCAGGATGAGTTTTGCAGCCCAAACTGAGAAGGTGTGTGATGCTGGCATGGGAAACGGGGTGCTAAAAGCCACCTCCCCAGGGAAGCTGCTGGCTGGGATAGCCTGGGGTGGCAACAGTGAGTCCCCAGGGACCTCAGCCATGTGGGAGCAGGAGCACAGAGCGATGCTTCTGCCCTGGTGCTGGTGTTCCTGGGGTCCCTGGAATTATCAGGGATTTTTAGTCATCCTCATCTCCCTTCTCTGCATTTTAAAAGAGAGACAAGAAAGGGCTCTGAGGGTCGTTGTGGTGCTTTGGGACAACCACGTGGCCACTGTTTGAGTGGCATCTCCCAGTTATCTGCCCTTCCCTTCCATGCAGTTGGAAACCTAAGCCTGGTGCCTCAGCATGAAAACACCACAATTCAGCAAATCTTACCCATAGAAAATGCCAAAAATGATTCTCTTTTCCAGAACTTCCCGTCCTTCAGGAAATGCCCAGGGTTAAAAGTGTTGGGGGTTTCCCACTCATTCTTGTCAAACATCACAGAGGTTATATTTATTGTTAAAACAGTGCCCTAAGAGGAGAAAAAGAAAAATAATTCACACTTTTGGTGGCACTGACAGCAGGAGGGGCAGCTTTATCTTCCGTTCTCTCCATGAAAAACATGGAGAGTCAAATTCTACTGCAATTATTTGTCTAACAACACTGCAGGGTCAGGGTCCCTTTGGAGGTGCAGTGATTATAGAACCACATTTTCCCCTCATCAGCATCACTTTTGTCTGCTGTAATCTTGGGTCAGAGTTCCTGTAAGAGCTCTGTGAGCTGGGATCTGTGCCTCAAAGGTGTGCCCGGGGGGTGTGGGACCCTGGAGTTCTCTGCACCCTTTGGGGAGCTGGAGAATATTGGTTGGTTGGATGGCAAAAATGCACACTGAGCAGGAGTGAACTCTGGACAGGGCAGGGACAGTGTGTCTGGGCAGGAGGGACCTGGCCTGGTGAATCGTGCCTGGGGAGCTGGGAGTCTCCCTGAGGTCCCAGTGCTCAGGGTGAGCTTACCTTTGGGATGAAGAAGCCATCCACGATTGTGTCCTTTGCTGCCACTCTTGGCATGCTTAAAGGGACAATGTTGGCTTTCCTCTGCACCTCATGGATGACAGCATTGGTGTAGGGCATGTTGTTCCTGTCCTCCAGCACTGGCTGCCGAGCCTGTCCGATGACGGCGTCGATCTCGGCTTGCACACGGGCTGGTGGGAAAGAGCTGGAATCAGCCAAGGCCCAAACACAAAAACCCTTGGAACAACACAAGGTTGTTGCTGTGAGGGTCCCCTAAGGACTAACCTGGAACACCTGCCACTGTTTGCACCTCTTTTGTGTGAGTGCAGGGAGATTCCCAACTTTTCTCTCAAGAAAAGCGTCTCTCACAAAGTTGTGAGGGATAAAAGGAAGGGAAACCCTGACCTTTTGCTATTTGTACCTTGAATTTCTGGATGTAAGGCCATGAACAGCAGAGCCCAGCGGAGGGTCGAGGAAGTGGTCTCGGTTCCAGCAAACATCAGGTCGAGGGTGCAGGCGACGAGATGTTCCTCCCGGAAGGTGTCACTGCCCTTGTCCTTCACAAAAAGGTGTGTTAGTGCTGCAGGAACAGTGAGGGCTGTCCTGACACCAGACTTAGTCCAAACCACACAAGAATTTGGGCAGGAGCTGCTGGCCCCCTGCCATCCCATCCCACTGATGGATGCCATGAGCCTGATGTGCATCCTAAGCTCCTAAATGGCCACGCAGGCAGCTCAGCTGGAGAATTTGGGCTTGTTTCTCGTCCCTCCTCATTTCTAAGCCCTGCTGCAGAAGGCTTTGCTCTGCATTGCTGACCTTGGCTATCTCCTGCAGGTAGCTGTCGATGTAGTCCCGGCTCTCTGAGGGGTTCCAGTCCTCCTTGTGCTTGTTGATCTGCTCTTGCATGTAGCTTTTCAACGACTTCCAGTTTTTAGAGATGGTTTGGTGTGCTCCAGGGAGGAACTTCATTATAGATGGGAAAGAGTTGTACAGCTTTGGACACAAAAGGAGAAAGAAAAATTGAATAAAGGACTGAAAACCCCTTCAAAACCCAACAATTGAGGATCTTGCAATGCTGTGCTTGCTGAAGTGCTGGAGTTGGTGGAAATAGCTCAGCTCCAGAAGAGTGGGAATCCCTCATGAAGGAAGGAGTTGTGTGTTGCCAGGTATTAGAGCAGGGAGGTTGGCAGACAATGGGCAGGAGAAGTGATGTTGAGTGAGAGAAAGCAGCATGAGCAAGGCCCAGCTTGAAAGTAAGGCAGCAAGAAATGACAGGCCAATCCACCCTGTGCAAAGCAATAGGCAAAGACAGGTTTGGTGATGACAACACTGAGCTCTGAGGTTGACTCCAGAGAAGAAACTATGGCTGTGGAGAGTGACAGGAGAGCTGTACCTGGGTTGTGATGGCTCCCTGAAGGAAAACTGTCTCATGCATCAGCTTCAGCAATTTTTGGAAGTCCTCATCATGGTAGTCAAACCGATTGCCGAGGGTGAGGGAGCAGATGATGTTTGAAACAGCGTTAGTGAGTGTAAACTGAGGGTCAAAAGGATTCCCTGGAGAAGGAAAAGATCAATTCTCTCCTGGTCTTCTCAGAAAAGGAGAAGAAAACACACTTGGTAAAGGTAAAATAGTCAACCAATACAAATGAAATGAGTGGTCCCAGTGACCATCCTGTGTCACTGCTTTGCTTGGACACCTCGCTGCCCCCACGAGCTGGCCAAGCTTGTCTGGGAAACCCCAGTAGTCCCAGTTCTATCAAATTATGGAGATGTTTATTTCCTTTGAAAAGCAGGATCTGCAGGAGAGGGATGTCATTGGAATACATTGGAAACATCATTGTTTCTGTCACTGGAAATCCTTGGGAACATCAGTGTTTATACACACATGGTATTTCCCAGAGATCTCAGAGAGAGCAGGAGGCTGAAGGTGGGCTATGAATAATGCATGGGGTGTTACCTGCTTGCACTCTCCAGTCACTTTGAAGGCCAAACCCCTGCAGGAGGGAGCAGGGATGCTGGTGGGGCTGCAGCATCCCTTGTAAGGTGAGGTATTTTTCAGCGTGCAGTGAACCATGGGTGAAATGATACCAGGCCGTACCAGGTCCTGCCTTCAGCACAGCTGCTGAGGGAGGCACGTGGCACTCACCCTGCTCATCCTTAAAGGCATCCACGAGGAATCGGCACTCCTCCTGGATGCGCTCCTCCACGCTCCTCTTCCCCAAGCCAAAGTTTCGGAGGGTGCTCAGGGTGAACCTCCTCTGTGCCTTCCACAAGTGCCCACTGGAGGAGATCAGTCCTGGCAGAAACAGCCCCCCTGTGATCCAAGGCTGATCCCCCACTGGGGGGAAAAAGCTCCAGGACTCTGCCTTCTCCCCAGCTGTCTCAGACCTCTGCAGGGCCAGCACCTGAACCTTGCAGCTGAGGTGCATGTTCTGAGAGATCACTCACCTATCTTGCTGAACATATCCATAGGAATTTCTGGTCGCTCCAAAAAGTTATCCCCTTGGTTTACAAGCACTTCCTTAACCAGCCGCATCCCATTTACTACCACAAGCTTCATGCTGCCCATGGACATGCCGAAGATGTCACCATATTTTTTAGTGTACTGGGAGAGAAAATAATAAAGGGGGTTTCATTTGAAGTGAATGTGTCTGCTGGGACAGGGACAGCCCTGTCAGGGCGTACAGGTGAAAATAAGGGAAGCTGACAGTGTGAGGAGACAAAGAATTTTTGTACAAATCTCTGACTGCACAGTGTTTTCTCTTTCCTCTTTTTCTGAATCACTGATCACTAAATCACGTAAACCTCTCCAGGTTTCATTTTGTAGTTCTGTGTTTTTCTAGCTTTTCCCTTCCCAAACAACGTTCCAGCCCACACTCAGACCTCCAGGGCTCCTACAGCTGCAACTGCAACTGTGGGATCATGTTGTGCCCTTTGCCCCAGGGATCACTGCACACTTGTGCCCCACCTTGTACCCAGGCAAACCGTTGAGGGCAAACCTCCTGCCTGCCTTCCTGGCCCATGGGGACTGGTTTAATCCCTTCCCTGTAGGGGCAGTTCCCTCTGTTGCTTCCCCCACAGTGCCCAGTACCCCTGTACCTTCTGCACTGTGATATGCGGAGCTTTGAAGTCCATCATGTAGATGTGTCCTAAAAAGGGAAGGCGTAAAGGGGTGGGAGGGAAGTTCTTTGGGTTTCTGTTCTTCATGTAGTCAGCGACAAACAGGAAGACAATGAGGAAGATGAGGAGCGTATGGAAGGAGATGCTGTCCCAGAGGAAGTGCAGCATGGCTGGATGGGGGGGCTGTGCACGGACGTGTCCCACGGCAGGTCAGGGCAGGTCGAGCTCCCAGGGCACCACTGAATCCCCAGGGACAGGGCGAGAGGGGTGATGTGCTGGCTCTGTGGGCACAAACACAAGAGAGCACGAAGCACCTTTTGCTGTCCTGGTCTACAGGCTGAGTTCAGACTCCTGCTTTGCCAGCTCTCAGTTTAATCTTCTTGATTAAACCCCTTCTAGATTAAACCCGAGCATTTCCTCTGCTGCGGTTAAAAACCACAAACCACCCCAAACCAAAACACTCCCAGCTGCCCCTTTCCCCTCCCGCCTCCCAGCGCTGCTTCACCAAACCCCAGTGATCCACGCCTTGTGTCAAGGACAGAACTGAGCTTGGCGGGATCAAGATTAAAACCTCCCGGCAGCTTCCCTGCGCTGTTCCCGCAAGCCCCTGGCTCAGCCCAGCCCTGCTCTCTCATCCCCGGGGTGCCCTCACTGTGCCGGGTCCCAGTGTCAGCTCCACGGTGCCGGGAGGCTCCAGCCGCTCCGAGTGCCTCGAGCTTTCCTCCTTGACAGGAGCTCGTTCGCTGCTTTGAAGAGTCCCAGACCAAGGCCCAGGTCGCCGGGGGCATCCGAGATAAGGTTGCACAAACCTTCCCAAACCGCCTGACTGCTTCCTTCCGGCTCCTGTGTGTCACAGTGACGCGGGCTGCCAGCAAAGAGCCATCCAGGCTCGGCAGCCGTCCCGAAGCACCGTCCTTTTCTCATCCCCGCGGGACAAGTGCAAGCAGAACAACTTGCTCTGGCCGGGAGGTTGGCCCTGCCCGAGCCCTCCAGCCATCCCTTCCCAGACCTCCCTTGTCCTTTTGGGTGCGTAGCCCGTGGTGGAGCCGTTCCCAAAGCCCCACAGAGCTGGGGCAGGTGCTGAGAAGCCAAAGCAGGTGCCCAGCTCTGCCGGCGGGGGCCCTTTCGGGGTAGCTGGCAACAGGCTGTGCTGACTTTTCCCCCTTGGATCGGCTCTGAGGCCGGGAGGTGTTGGTGCACGTGCAGCACGTGGACTTTTGATGTACATGTTGTGTTTTGTTGTGAAAGCAGCAGGGGGGTTGCAGCAGCAGTTTGACCTTGCACCACGTGGCTCTGCAGTTGTCAGCTGCCCCCTCGTGCTCTGGGGGACGTTTTGGGGGCCTTTTCTCCCTTTTGGGGCCATCACTTGTGGCCATTGGGGTTATCGAGTGCCCATGAGAAGGCACAGAGGTGCAGCAGAGCTCCTGGGGCGATGCCATTCATGTGTTTACCATAGCCCTCACACTTGGGAAGCTTGAAAAGTTAAATCCCTTTTTTATGGTGGGACTTAAATGGGGAAAACAGATATTTTGTTTTCTCTTTTAGAAAGACCAAAGCACAACTTGGTAGCCTGTGACTGTTAAAAATTAATTAAAAATTAAAATAAGATTCAAATGGTGTGTTGGAAGGACAGCTCAGTGACAGAATCCCTGTGTGCCTGGCATGGCAGGAATGTGATGTGCAGAGGACTCTCCCATGTGGCATAAATCTGCCACTGCACAGTGATTGCTTTGTACTGCAGCAAAGTGGATGTAGGAGGATGTGGATTGTCAGGGATGTAGAGGGAACCAGTGGAAATGGAACTCAATGTAATCCTCCTTTCCTGTTAACTATTCTGTGTCCTACATGGGTGCCCATTGAAAAGTCTTCTATGAAAGGTGAGAAGCCAAACAAGAGAAAAAAGAAGAATCTTTGCTGTGACTACACTGCAGACAGAAGCACCCAGGAGACAGCATTTCTGAGCATAAATATTTGGTCAGGTAAATGAAAAAGCTCTTTACAAGTTGCATGTTTAATGAACTCTTATCCAAAGGGAGCTGGTATGGGCAGGAGCAGTGTGTCTGTCATGAGGGGCCATGTCCCAATCCACTTCCTCGGCCCCACGCTGTATCCATGCCCATCATGCATAGACACAAATCTTTGCCACAAACAGAGGGGAAGTGATGAACTTGAGACTTCTCACCACAAAGCCACTTCCTTCCTGACAGCCAGCGGTGAGCTGCCACACGACCCTTCCAACACTCGCTGCTGCTTCTCCTTCTCTTGGGCTTTGGTAAAGTGCTCCAAGCAACAGAGGGATTATTTTTTTGCAGGTTTTCTATTTTTTATTTTATTAGCCCAGATGAGTTGCCAAGGGCTTGTTTTCCGCACTCCTGACAAAGGATTTTCCCTGTGAGGATTGTGGCTGAGGCTTCCCTACCGAGGCACAGCGCAGATCTTGTAGGGCTGTGGGGCCATCGTGATGCCCATCACGGGGTGGAGGCTGAGTGTGGTGTCCGGGGGTGCCTGGAAGGTGAATTTCTGGAGCAGAGACGTGAAGAAGAGGAAGAGCTCGGAGCGGGCCAGCACCTCGCCCAGGCAGGCGCGCTTCCCTGCGGAGACAGCAACCCACGGCATCCTCAGACTGAGCTTTTGCTGCTGGAAATGCTTCTGCCTTCCCTCAGGACCACAGTCCATTATGCAGTTGGAAACCCAAGACCACTGCCTCAGCACAATTCACCAAATCTTACCCACAGAAAATGCCAAAAACGATTCTCTTTTCCAGAACTTCCCATCCTTCAGGAAATGCCCAGGGTTAAAATTGTCGGGGGTTTCCCACTCATTCTTGTCAAACATCACAGAGGTTAAATTTGTCAACAACATAGTGCCCTAACAGGAGAAAAAGAAAAATAATTCACAATTTCTCTTGCACTGACAGCAGGAGGGGCAGTTTTATCTTCCAGTCTCTCCATGAAGAACATGCAGAGTCAAATTCTACTGCAATTATTTGTCTGACAACCACTGCAGGACCAGGGTCCCTTTGGAGATGCAGTGATTATAGAACAACGTTTTCCCCTCATCAGCATCACTTTTGTCTGCTGTAATCTTGGGCCAGAGTTCCTATAAGAGCTCTGTGAGCTGGGATCTGTGCCTCAAAGGTGTGCCTGGGGGGGTGTGGGACCCTGGAGTTCTCTGCACCCTTTGGGGAGCTGGAGAATATTGGTTGGTTGGATGGCAAAAATGCACACTGAGCAGGAGTGAACTCTGGACAGGGCAGGGACAGTGTGTCTGGGCAGGAGGGACCTGGCCTGGTGAATCGTGCCTGGGGAGCTGGGAGTCTCCCTGAGGTCCCAGTGCTCAGGGTGAGCTTACCTTTGGGATGAAGAAGCCATCCATGATTGTGTCCTTTGCTGCCATTCTTGGCCCATTGAAAGGGATAATGTTGGCTTTCCTCTGCACCTCATGGATGACAGCATTGGTGTAGGGCATGTTGTTCCTGTCCTCCAGCACTGGCTGCCGAGCCTGTCCGATGACGGCGTCGATCTCGGCTTGCACACGGGCTGGTGGGAAAGAGCAGGAATCAGCCAAGGCCCAAACACAAAAACCCTTGGAACAACACAAAGTTGTTACTGTGAGGGTCCCCTAAGGACTAACCTGGAACACCTGCCACTGTTTGCACCTCTTTTGTGTGAGTACAGGGAGATTCCCAACTTTTCTCTCAAGAAAAGCGTCTCTCACAAAGTTGTGAGGGATAAAAGGAAGGGAAACCCTGACCTTTTGCTATTTGTACCTTGAATTTCTGGATGTAAGGCCATGAACAGCAGAGCCCAGCGGAGGGTCGTGGAAGTGGTCTCGGTTCCAGCAAACATCAGGTCAAGGGTGCAGGCGACGAGATGTTCCTCCCGGAAGGTGTCACTGCCCTTGTCCTTCACAAAAAGGTGTGTTAGTGCTGCAGGAACAGTGAGGGCTGTCCTGACACCAGACTTAGTCCAAACCACACAAGAATTTGGGCAGGAGCTGCTGGCCCCCTGCTATCCCATCCCACTGATGGATGCCATGAGCCTGATGTGCATCCTAAGCTCCTAAATGGCCACGCAGGCAGCTCAGCTGGAGAATTTGGGCTTGTTTCTCGTCCCTCCTCATTTCTAAGCCCTGCTGCAGAAGGCTTTGCTCTGCATTGCTGACCTTGGCTATCTCCTGCAGGTAGCTGTCGATGTAGTCCCGGCTCTCTGAGGGGTTCCAGTCCTCCTTGTGCTTGTTGATCTGTTCTTGCATGTAGCTTTTCAACAACTTCGAGTTTTTAAAAATGGTTTGGTGTGCTCCAGGGAGGAACTTCATTATAGATGGGAAAGAGTTGTACAGCTTTGGACACAAAAGGAGAAAGAAAAATTGAATAAAGGACTGAAAACCCCTTCAAAACCCAACAATTGAGGATCCTGCAATGCTGTGCTTGCTGAAGTGCTGGAGTTGGTGGAAATAGCTCAGCTCCAGAAGAGCGGGAATCCCTCATGAAGGAAGGACTTTTGTGTTGCCAGGTATTAGAGCAGGCAGGTTGGCAGACAATGGGCAGGAGAAGTGATGTTGAGTGAAAGAAAGCAGCATGAGCAAGGCCCAGCTTGAAAGTAAGGCAGCAAGAAATGACAGGCCAATCCACCCTGTGCAAAGCAATAGGCAAAGACAGGTTTGGTGATGACAACACTGAGCTCTGAGGTTGACTCCAGAGAAGAAACTATGGCTGTGGGGTGGTGGCAGGAGGGCTGTACCTGGGCTGTGATGGTTCCGTTGAGGGCAGTCGTTTCATACATCAGCTTCAGCAATTTTTGGTAGTCTTCATCATGGTAGTCAAACCGATTGCCGAGGGTGAGGGAGCAGATGACATTTGAAACAGCATTAGTGAGTGTAAACTGAGGGTCAAAAGGATTCCCTGGAGAAGGAAAAGATCAATTCTCTCCTGGTCTTCTCAGAAAAGGAGAAGAAAACACACTTGGTAAAGGTAAAATAGTCAACCAATACAAATGAAATGAGTGGTCCCAGTGACCATCCTGTGTCACTGCTTTGCTTGGACACCTCGCTGCCCCCACGAGCTGGCCAAGCTTGTCTGGGAAACCCCAGTAGTCCCAGTTCTATCAAATTATGGAGATGTTTATTTCCTTTGAAAAGCAAGATCTGCAGGAGAGGGATGTCATTGGAATACATTGGAAATATCATTGTTTCTGTCACTGGAAATCCTTGGGAACATCAGTGTTTATACACACATGGTATTTCCCAGAGATCTCAGAGAGAGCAGGAGGCTGAAGGTGGGCTATGAATAATGCATGGGGTGTTACCTGCCTGCACTCTCCAGTCACTTTGAAGGCCAAACCCCTGCAGGAGGGAGCAGGGATGCTGGTGGGGCTGCAGCATCCCTTGTAAGGTGAGGTATTTTTCAGCGTGCAGTGAACCACGGGTGAAATGATACCAGGCCGTACCAGGTCCTGCCTTCAGCACAGCTGCTGAGGGAGGCACGTGGCACTCACCCTGCTCATCCTTAAAGGCATCCACGAGGAATCGGCACTCCTCCTGGATGCGCTCCTCCACGCTCCTCTTCCCCAAGCCAAAGTTTCGGAGGGTGCTCAGGGTGAACCTCCTCTGTGCCTTCCACAAGTGCCCATTGGAGGAGATCAGTCCTGGCAGAAACAGCCCCCTGTGAGCCAAGGCTGATCCCCCACTGGGGGGAAAAAGCTCCAGGGCTCTGCCTTCTCCCCAGCTGTCTCAGACCTCTGCAGGGTTGTTACTTGGGCCTTGCAGCTGAGGTGCATGTCCTAAGGAATCACTCACCCATCTTGCTGAAGATTTCGGAAGGCATTTCTGGTCGCTCCAGGAAGTTTTCCCCTTGGTTTACAAGCACTTCCTTAACCAGCCGCATCCCATTTACCATCACAAACTTCATGCTGCCCATCGAAGAGCCAAAGATGTCACCATAATTTTCAGTAAGCTGGGTGAGGAAAAAAAAAAAAAGGAGTTAGGGCACAGGTAAAACTAAGGGAAGCTGAGAGTGGGAGAGGAAAGAGAATTTGTGCACAAATCTCTGCCTGATTGCACAGTGTTTTCTCTTTCCTCTTTTCCTGAATCACTGATCAGGACTGGGTGTTAATTGTCGAGTTGGTGATAAATCAAATAAACCTCTCCAGCTTTCATTTTTCAGTTCTATATTTTTCCAGCTTTTGTTGTGCTCCCTTCCCAAACACCCTTCCAGCCCCCAACTTAGTCCCACGGGGCTCCTACATCTGTGACTGCACCCGTGTGATTGTGTTGTGCCCTTTGCCCCAGGGATCACTGCACACTTGTGCCCCACCTTGTACCCAGGTAAATGTCACTTATGATTACAAACCTCCTGCCTGGCCCATGGGTCTGGTTTAACCCCTTCCCCTGCAGCTACAATTCCCTCTGTTCCTTCCCCCACAGTGCCCACCACCCATGTACCTTCTTCACTCCCACTCGGGGATCTTTGAAGTTCATCAAGTAAAGGTGCCCTACAAAGGGAAGGCGTAAAGGGGTGGGAGGGAAGTTCTTTGGGTTTCTGTTCTTCATGTAGTCAGCGACAAACAGGAAGACAATGAGGAAGATGAGGAGCGTATGGAAGGAGATGCTGTCCCAGAGGAAGTGCAGCATGGCTGGATGGGGGGGCTGTGCACGGACGTGTCCCACGGCAGGTCAGGGCAGGTCGAGCTCCCAGGGCACCACTGAATCCCCAGGGACAGGGCGAGAGGGGTGATGTGCTGGCTCTGTGGGCACAAACACAAGAGAGCACGAAGCACCTTTTGCTGTCCTGGTCTACAGGCTGAGTTCAGACTCCTGCTTTGCCAGCTCTCAGTTTAATCTTCTTGATTAAACCCCTTCTAGATTAAACCCGAGCATTTCCTCTGCTGCGGTTAAAAACCACAAACCACCCCAAACCAAAACACTCCCAGCTGCCCCTTTCCCCTCCCGCCTCCCAGCGCTGCTTCACCAAACCCCAGTGATCCACGCCTTGGTAAGGAACGAACTGAGCTTGCGCGTATCAAGTTAAAAACTATAAGGGAAGCTTACATGCGCTGCTTCACCGAAACGACACTGCTCAGCACAAGCACCCCCTGCTTCTAATCAAAGGGGGTGCCATCACGGCTGCCGAGGTCCAAGTTGTCAGCTCCACAGTTGCGGGAGGTGTCACAGGACAGCTCAGAGTGCACTGAGCTTTCTCCTTGGAAAGGAGTAAGTCGATTGCTTTGAAGAGTCCCAGACCAAGGCCCAGGTCGCCGGGGGCATCCGAGATAAGGTTGCACAAACCTTCCCAAACCGCCTGACTGCTTCCTTCCGGCTCCTGTGTGTCACAGTGACGCGGGCTGCCAGCAAAGAGCCATCCAGGCTCGGCAGCCGTCCCGAAGCACCGTCCTTTTCTCATCCCCGCGGGACAAGTGCAAGCAGAACAACTTGCTCTGGCCGGGAGGTTGGCCCTGCCCGAGCCCTCCAGCCATCCCTTCCCAGACCTCCCTTGTCCTTTTGGGTGCGTAGCCCGTGGTGGAGCCGTTCCCAAAGCCCCACAGAGCTGGGGCAGGTGCTGAGAAGCCAAAGCAGGTGCCCAGCTCTGCCGGCGGGGGCCCTTTCGGGGTAGCTGGCAACAGGCTGTGCTGACTTTTCCCCCTTGGATCGGCTCTGAGGCCGGGAGGTGTTGGTGCACGTGCAGCACGTGGACTTTTGATGTACATGTTGTGTTTTGTTGTGAAAGCAGCAGGGGGGTTGCAGCAGCAGTTTGACCTTGCACCACGTGGCTCTGCAGTTGTCAGCTGCCCCCTCGTGCTCTGGGGGACGTTTTGGGGGCCTTTTCTCCCTTTTGGGGCCATCACTTGTGGCCATTGGGGTTGTCGAGTGCCCATGAGAAGGCACAGAGGTGCAGCAGAGCTCCTGGGGCGATGCCATTCATGTGTTTACCATAGCCCTCACACTTGGGAAGCTTGAAAAGTTAAATCCCTTTTTTATGGTGGGACTTAAATGGGGAAAACAGATATTTTGTTTTCTCTTTTAGAAAGACCAAAGCACAACTTGGTAGCCTGTGACTGTTAAAAATTAATTAAAAATTAAAATAAGATTCAAATGGTGTGTTGGAAGGACAGCTCAGTGACAGAATCCCTGTGTGCCTGGCATGGCAGGGATGTGATGTGCAGAGGACTCTCCCATGTGGCATAAATCTGCCACTGCACAGTGATTGCTTTGTACTGCAGCAAAGTGGATGTAGGAGGATGTGGATTGTCAGGGATGTAGAGGGAACCAGTGGAAATGGAACTCAATGTAATCCTCCTTTCCTGTTAACTATTCTGGGTCCTACGTGGGTGCCCATTGAAAAGTCTTCTATGAAAGGTGAGAAGCCAAAAAAAGAGAAAAAAAGAAGAATCTTTGCTGTGACTACACTGCAGACAGAAGCACCCAGAAGCACTTCTAAGCCTAAATACTTGGTTGTGTAAATGAAAAAGTTGCATGTTTAATGAACTCTTATCCAAAGGGAGCTGGTATGGGCAGGAGCAGTGTGTCTGTCATGAGGGGCCATGTCCCAACCCACTTCCTCCGCCCCACACTGTGTCCATGCCCATAATGGCCATCGTGGACGCAAATCTTTGCCACAAACAGAGGGGAAGTGTTGACCTCGAGTCTTCTCACCACAAAGCCACTTCCTTCCTGACAGCCAGCGGTGAGCTGCCACAGGCGCGACCCTTCCAACACTCGCTGCTGCTTCTCCTTCTCTTGGGCTTTGGATAAAGTGCTCCCAAGCAACAGAGGGATTATTTTTTTTCAATTTTTCTGTTTTTTATTTTATTAGCCCAGATGAGTTGCCAAGGGCTTGTTTTCCGCACTCCTGACAAAGGATTTTCCCTGTGAGGATTGTGGCTGAGGCTTCCCTACCGAGGCACAGCGCAGATCTTGTAGGGCTGTGGGGCCATCGTGATGCCCATCACGGGGTGGAGGCTGAGTGTGGTGTCCGGGGGTGCCTGGAAGGTGAATTTCTGGAGCAGAGACGTGAAGAAGAGGAAGAGCTCGGAGCGGGCCAGCACCTCGCCCAGGCAGGCGCGCTTCCCTGCGGAGACAGCAACCCACGGCATCCTCAGACTGAGCTTTTGCTGCTGGAAAAGCTTCTGCCTTCCCTCAGGACCATGGTCCCTGATCCCTTCCCAGGATGAGTTTTGCAGCCCAAACTGAGAAGGTGTGTGATGCTGGTATGGGAAACGGGGTGCTAAAAGCCACCTCCCCAGGGAAGCTGCTGGCTGGGATAGCCTGGGGTGGCAACAGTGAGTCCCCAGGGACCTCAGCCATGTGGGAGCAGGAGCACAGAGCGATGCTTCTACCCTGGTGATGGTGTTCCTGGGGTCCCTGGAATTATCAGGGATTTTTATTCATCCTCATCTCCCTTCTCTGCATTTTAAAAGAGAGACAAGAAAGGGCTCTGAGTGTGGTTGTGGTGCTTTGGGACAACCACGTGGCCACTGTTTGAGTGGCACCTCCATCACTATATTCCTCTCTATCTCCATCATGCAGTTGGAAACCCAAGACCACTGACTCAGCACAATTCACCAAATCCTACCTATAGAAAATGCCAGAAATGATTCTCTTCTCCAGAACTTCCCATCCTTCAGGAAATGCCCAGGGTTAAAAGTGTCGGGACTTTCCCACTCATTCTTGTCAAACATCACAGAGGTTATATTTGTCAACAACGTAGTGCCCTAACAGGAGAAAAAGAAAAATAATTCACATTTTCTCTTGCACTGACAGCAGGAGGGGCAGTTTTATCTTCCAGTCTCTCCATGAAGAACATGCAGAGTCAAATTCTACTGCAATTATTTGTCTGACAACACTGCAGGGTCAGAGTCCCTTTGGAGGTGCAGTGATTATAGAACCACGTTTTCCCCTCATCAGCATCACTTTTGTCTGCTGTAATCTTGGGCCAGAGTTCCTGTAAGAGCTCTGTGAGCTGGGATCTGTGCCTCAAAGGTGTACCTGGGGGGGTGTGGGACCCTGGAGTTCTCTGCACCCTTTGGGGAGCTGGAGAATATTGGTTGGTTGGATGGCAAAAATGCACACTGAGCAGGAGTGAACTCTGGACAGGGCAGGGACAGTGTGTCTGTGCAGGAGGGACCTGGCCTGGTGAATCGTGCCTGGGGAGCTGGGGGAGTCTCCCTGAGGTCCCAGTGCTCAGGGTGAGCTTACCTTTGGGATGAAGAAGCCATCCAGGATCGTGTCCTTTGCCGCCATTCTTGGCACGTTGAAAGGGACAATGTTGGCTTTCCTCTGCACCTCATGGATGACGGCATTGGTGTAGGGCATGTTGTTCCTGTCCTCCAGCACTGGCTGCCGAGCCTGTCCGATGACGGCGTCAATCTCGGCTTGCACACGGGCTGGTGGGAAAGAGCAGGAATCAGCCAAGGCCCAAGGACAAAAACCCTTGGAAGAACACAAGGTTGTTGCTGTGAGGGTCCCCTAAGGACTAACCTGGAACACCTGCCACTGTTTGCACCTCTTTTGTGTGAGTGCAGGGAGATTCCCAACTTTTCTCTCAAGAAAAGTGTCTCTCACAAAGCTGTGAGGGATAAAAGGAAGGGAAACCCTGACCTTTTGCTATTTGTACCTTGAATTTCTGGATGTAAGGCCATGAACAGCAGAGCCCAGCGGAGGGTCGAGGAAGTGGTCTCGGTTCCAGCAAACATCAGGTCAAGGGTGCAGGCGACGAGATGTTCCTCCCGGAAGGTGTCACTGCCCTTGTCCTTCACAAAAAGGTGTGTTAGTGCTGCAGGAACAGTGAGGGCTGCCCTGACACCAGGCTTAGTCCAAACCACACAAGAATTTGGGCAGGAGCTGCTGGCCCCCTGCTATCCCATCCCACTGATGGGTGCTCTGAGCCTGATGTCCGTCCTAAGCTCAGCTGGAGAATTTGGCTCATTTCTCGTCCCTCCTCATTTCTAAGCCCTGCTGCAGAAGGCTTTGCTCTGCATTGCTGACCTTGGCTATCTCCTGCAGGTAGCTGTCGATGTAGTCCCGGCTCTCTGAGGGGTTCCAGTCCTCCTTGTGCTTGTTGATCTGCTCTTGCATGTAGCTTTTCAACAACTTCGAGTTTTTAGAAATGGTTTGGTGTGCTCCAGGGAGGAACTTCATTATAGATGGGAAAGAGTTGTACAGCTTTGGACACAAAAGGAGAAAGAAAAATTGAATAAAGGACTGAAAACCCCTTCAAAACCCAACAATTGAGGATCCTGCAATGCTGTGCTTGCTGAAGTGCTGGAGTTGGTGGAAATAGCTCAGCTCCAGAAGAGCGGGAATCCCTCATGAAGGAAGGACTTTTGTGTTGACAGGTATTAGAGCAGGCAGGTTGGCAGACAATGGGCAGGAGAAGTGATGTTGAGTGAGAGAAAGCAGCATGAGCAAGGCCCAGCTTGAAAGTAAGGCAGCAAGAAATGACAGGCCAATCCACCCTGTGCAAAGCAATAGGCAAAGACAGGTTTGGTGATGACAACACTGAGCTCTGAGGTTGATTCCAGAGAAGAGACCATGGCTGTGGAGTGTGACAGGAGGGCTGTACCTGGGCTGTGATGGTTCCGTTGAGGGCAGTCGTTTCATACATCAGCTTCAGCAATTTTTGGAAGTCCTCATCATGGTAGTCAAACCGATTGCCGAGGGTGAGGGAGCAGATGACATTTGAAACAGCATTAGTGAGTGTAAACTGAGGGTCAAAAGGATTCCCTGGAGAAGGAAAAGATCAATTCTCTCCTGGTCTTCTCAGAAAAGGAGAAGAAAACACACTTGGTAAAGGTAAAATAGTCAACCAATACAAATGAAATGAGTGGTCCCAGTGACCACCCTGTGTCACTGCTTTGCTTGGACACCTCGCTGCCCCCACGAGCTGGCCAAGCTTGTCTGGGAAACCCCAGTAGTCCCAGTTCTATCAAATTATGGAGATGTTTGCTCCCCTTGAAAAGCAAGATCTGCAGGAGAGGGATGTCATTGGAATACATTGGAAACATCATTGTTTCTCTCACTGGAATTCCTTGGGAACATCAGTGTTTATACACACATGGTATTTCCCAGAGATCTCAGAGAGAGCAGGAGGCTGAAGGTGGGCTATGAATAATGCATGGGGTGTTACCTGCCTGCACTCTCCAGTCACTTTGAAGGCCAAACCCCTGCAGGAGGGAGCAGGGATGCTGGTGGGGCTGCAGCATCCCTTGTAAGGTGAGGTATTTTTCAGCGTGCAGTGAACCATGGGTGAAATGATACCAGGCCGTACCAGGTCCTGCCTTCAGCACAGCTGCTGAGGGAGGCACGTGGCACTCACCCTGCTCATCCTTAAAGGCATCCACGAGGAATCGGCACTCCTCCTGGATGCGCTCCTCCACGCTCCTCTTCCCCAAGCCAAAGTTTCGGAGGGTGCTCAGGGTGAACCTCCTCTGTGCCTTCCACAAGTGCCCACTGGAGGAGATCAGTCCTGGCAGAAACAGCCCCCTGTGAGCCAAGGCTGATCCCCCACTGGGGGGAAAAAGCTCCAGGGCTCTGCCTTCTCCCCAGCTGTCTCAGACCTCTGCAGGGTTGTTACTTGGGCCTTGCAGCTGAGGTGCACGTCCTGAAGCATCACTCACCCATCTTGCTGAAGATTTCGGAGGGCATTTCTGGTCGCTCCAGGAAGTTTTCCCCTTGGTTTACAAGCACTTCCTTAACCAGCCGCATCCCATTTACCATCACAAACTTCATGCTGCCCATCGAAGAGCCAAAGATGTCACCATAATTTTCAGTAAGCTGGGTGAGGAAAAAAATAAAAGGAGTTTCATTTGAATGAATGTATCTGTTGGGACAGGGACAACCATGACATAGGGCACAGGTAAAACTAAGGGAAGCTGAGAGTGGGAGAGGAAAGAGAATTTGTGCACAAATCTCTGCCTGATTGCACAGTGTTTTCTCTTTCCTCTTTTCCTGAATCACTGATCAGGACTTCGTGTTAATTGTCGAGTTGGTGATAAATCAAATAAACCTCTCTGGCTTTCATTTTTCAGTTCTATGTTTTTCCAGCTTTTGTTGTGCTCCCTTCCCAAACACCCTTCCAGACCCCAACTCAGTCCTGTGGGGCTCCTACATCTGTGACTGCACCCGTGTGATCGTGTTGTGGCCTTTGCCCCAGGGATCACTGCACACTTGTGCCCCACCTTGTACCCAGGTAAACGTCACTTATGATTACAAACCTCCTGCCTGGCCCATGGGTCTGGTTTAACCCCTTCCCTGCAGCTACAATTCCCTCTGTTCCTTCCCCCACAGTGCCCACCACCCAGGTACCTTCTGCACTCCCACTCGGGGATCTTTGAAGTCCATCAAATAAAGGTGCCCAACAAAGGGAAGGCGTAAAGGGGTGGGAGGGAAGTTCTTTGGGTTTCTGTTCTTCATGTAGTCAGCGACAAACAGGAAGACAATGAGGAAGATGAGGAGCGTATGGAAGGAGATGCTGTCCCAGAGGAAGTGCAGCATGGCTGGGTGGGGGGGCTGTGCACGGACGTGTCCCACGGCAGGTCAGGGCAGGTCGAGCTCCCAGGACACCACTGAATCCCCAGGGACAGGGGCAGAGGGGTGATGTGCTGGCTCTGTGGGCACAAACACAAGAGAGCACGAAGCACCTTTTGCTGCCCTGGTCTACAGGCTGAGTTCAGACTCCTGCTTTGCCAGCTCTCAGTTTAATCTTCTTGATTAAACCCCTTCTAGATTAAACCCGAGCATTTCCTCTGCTGCGGTTAAAAACCACAAACCACCCCAAACCAAAACACTCCCAGCTGCCCCTTTCCCCTCCCGCCTCCCAGCGCTGCTTCACCAAACCCCAGTGATCCACGCCTTGTGTCAAGGACAGAACTGAGCTTGGCGGGATCAAGATTAAAACCTCCCGGCAGCTTCCCTGCGCTGTTCCCGCAAGCCCCTGGCTCAGCCCAGCCCTGCTCTCTCATCCCCGAGGTGCCCTCACTGTGCCGGGTCCCAGTGTCAGCTCCACGGTGCCGGGAGGCTCCAGCCGCTCCGAGTGCCTCGAGCTTTCCTCCTTGACAGGAGCTCGTTCGCTGCTTTGAAGAGTCCCAGACCAAGGCCCAGGTCGCCGGGGGCATCCGAGATAAGGTTGCACAAACCTTCCCAAACCGCCTGACTGCTTCCTTCCGGCTCCTGTGTGTCACAGTGACGCGGGCTGCCAGCAAAGAGCCATCCAGGCTCGGCAGCCGTCCCGAAGCACCGTCCTTTTCTCATCCCCGCGGGACAAGTGCAAGCAGAACAACTTGCTCTGGCCGGAAGGTTGGCCCTGCCCGAGCCCTCCAGCCATCCCTTCCCAGACCTCCCTTGTCCTTTTGGGTGCGTAGCCCGTGGTGGAGCCGTTCCCAAAGCCCCACAGAGCTGGGGCAGGTGCTGAGAAGCCAAAGCAGATGCCCAGCTCTGCCGGCGGGGGCCCTTTCGGGGTAGCTGGCAACAGGCTGTGCTGACTTTTCCCCCTTGGATCGGCTCTGAGGCCGGGAGGTGTTGGTGCACGTGCAGCACGTGGACTTTTGATGTACATGTTGTGTTTTGTTGTGAAAGCAGCAGGGGGGTTGCAGCAGCAGTTTGACCTTGCACCACGTGGCTCTGCAGTTGTCAGCTGCCCCTCGTGCTCTGGGGGACGTTTTGGGGGCCTTTTCTCCCTTTTGAGGCCATCACTTGTGGCCATTGGGGTTGTCGAGTGCCCATGAGAAGGCACAGAAATGCAGCAGAGCTGCTGGGGTGATGCCATTCATGTGTTTTCCATAGCCCTCACACTTGGGAAGCTTGAAAATTAAATCCCTGTTCTATTGTGAAACTGAAAGTGGGAAAACCTGATTTTGAGAATTTGTCTTTTAACATCTTGCCTTTGAGCACACTTAGGCATGAGCCTGTGAAGGTGCACATGTTCCATTTAGTTACATGAGATGGATCTCGCCGAGAATTTATGAATTCATGCCTCCTGCCTTTATGTTGTGGGATAATTGCATTGATTTTCCACCCCCAACTGATTAAAATACAGAAAAAAAGAAGAATGAAAAAATTACTTGAATTATTTATTCTCTCCATCAGTAGGGGAGGAAACCCTAAAGTAATTGGGAAACACAAGTTTGAAATGCAAGAGAGAAGAGATCATCTTTCATTGCTAATCCACTGCAAAAAATACATGCCAGAGGTCAGACCTACAGCAAAATTAATGAAAAAATGAAGAGAAACCAGTGCCTGGTCCTGAGTGGCTTTGAAAAGTTCATAGGCGAAAAAAAGTTTTCAGACCTTTTATGTTTTCTCTTTGAGAAAGACAATGGCACAACTTGGGAGCCTGTGACTGTTAAAAATTAATTAAAAACGCAATAGGATTCAAGTGATGAGTTGGAAGGACAGCTCAGTGACAGAATCCCTGAGTGCCTGGCATGGCAGGGATGTGATGTGCAGAGGACTCTCCCATGTGGCATAAATCTGCCACTGCACAGTGATTGCTTTGTACTGCAGCAAAGTGGATGTAGGAGGATGTGGATTGTCAGGGATGTAGAGGGAACCAGTGGAAATGGAACTCAATGTAATCCTCCTTTCCTGTTAACTATTCTGGGTCCTACGTGGGTGCCCATTGAAAAGTCTTCTATGAAAGGTGAGAAGCCAAAAAAAGAGAAAAAAAGAAGAATCTTTGCTGTGACTACACTGCAGACAGAAGCACCCAGAAGCACTTCTAAGCCTAAATACTTGGTTGTGTAAATGAAAAAGTTGCATGTTTAATGAACTCTTATCCAAAGGGAGCTGGTATGGGCAGGAGCAGTGTATCTGTCATGAGGGGCCATGTCCCAATCCACTTCCTCGGCCCCACGCTGTATCCATGCCCATCATGCATAGACACAAATCTTTGCCACAAACAGAGGGGAAGTGATGAACTTGAGACTTCTCACCACAAAGCCACTTCCTTCCTGACAGCCAGCGGTGAGCTGCCACACGACCCTTCCAACACTCGCTGCTGCTTCTCCTTCTCTTGGGCTTTGGTAAAGTGCTCCAAGCAACAGAGGGATTATTTTTTTGCAGGTTTTCTATTTTTTATTTTATTAGCCCAGATGAGTTGCCAAGGGCTTGTTTTCCGCACTCCTGACAAAGGATTTTCCCTGTGAGGATTGTGGCTGAGGCTTCCCTACCGAGGCACAGCGCAGATCTTGTAGGGCTGTGGGGCCATCGTGATGCCCATCAGGGGCTGGAGGCTGAGTGTGGTGTCCGGGGGTGCCTGGAAGGTGAATTTCTGGAGCAGAGACGTGAAGAAGAGGAAGAGCTCGGAGCGGGCCAGCACCTCGCCCAGGCAGGCGCGCTTCCCTGCGGAGACAGCAACCCACGGCATCCTCAGACTGAGCTTTTGCTGCTGGAAAAGCTTCTGCCTTCCCTCAGGACCATGGTCCCTGATCTCTTCCCAGGATGAGTTTTGCAGCCCAAACTGAGAAGGTGTGTGATGCTGGTATGGGAAACGGGGTGCTAAAAGCCACCTCCCCAGGGAAGCTGCTGGCTGGGATAACCTGGGGTGGCAACAGTGAGTCCCCAGGGACCTCAGCCATGTGGGAGCAGGAGCAGAGAGTGATGCTTCTGCCCTGGTGATGGTGTTCCTGGGGTCCCTGGAATTATCAAGGATTTTTATTCATCCTCATCTCCCTTCTCTGCATTTTAAAAGAGAGACAAGAAAGGGCTCTGAGTGTGGTTGTGGTGCTTTGGGACGACCACGTTGCCACTGTTTGAGTGGAACCTCCATCACTATATTCCTCTCTATCTCCATCATGCAGTTGGAAACCCAAGACCACTGACTCAGCACAATTCACCAAATCCTACCTATAGAAAATGCCAGAAACGATTCTCTTCTCCAGAACTTCCCATCCTTCAGGAAATGCCCAGGGTTAAAAGTGTTGGGACTTTCCCACTCATTCTTGTCAAACATCACAGAGGTTATATTTGTCAACAACATAGTGCCCTAACAGGAGAAAAAGAAAAATAATTCACATTTTCTCTTGCACTGACAGCAGGAGGGGCAGTTTTATCTTCCAGTCTCTCCATGAAGAACATGCAGAGTCAAATTCTACTGCAATTATTTGTCTGACAACACTGCAGGTCAGGGGTCCCTTTGGAGATCCAGTGATTCTAGAACCACGTTTTCCCCTCCTCAGCATCACTTTCGTCTGCTGTAATCTTGGGCCAGAGTTCCTGTAAGAGCTCTGTGAGCTGGGATCTGTGCCTCAAAGGTGTGCCCGGGGGGTTTTGGACCCTGCAGGGCTCTGCACCCTTTGGGGAGGTGGAGAATATTGGTTGGTTGGATGGCAAAAATGCACAGTGAGCAGGAGTGAACTCTGGACAGGGCAGGGACAGTGTGTCTGGGCAGGAGGGACCTGGCCTGGTGAATCGTGCCTGGGGAGCTGGGAGTCTCCCTGAGGTCCCAGTGCTCAGGGTGAGCTTACCTTTGGGATGAAGAAGCCATCCACGATTGTGTCCTTTGCTGCCACTCTTGGCATGCTTAAAGGGACAATGTTGGCTTTCCTCTGCACCTCATGGATGACAGCATTGGTGTAGGGCATGTTGTTCCTGTCCTCCAGCACTGGCTGCCGAGCCTGTCCGATGACGGCGTCGATCTCGGCTTGCACACGGGCTGGTGGGAAAGAGCTGGAATCAGCCAAGGCCCAAACACAAAAACCCTTGGAACAACACAAGGTTGTTGCTGTGAGGGTCCCCTAAGGACTAACCTGGAACACCTGCCACTGTTTGCACCTCTTTTGTGTGAGTGCAGGGAGATTCCCAACTTTTCTCTCAAGAAAAGCGTCTCTCACAAAGTTGTGAGGGATAAAAGGAAGGGAAACCCTGACCTTTTGCTATTTGTACCTTGAATTTCTGGATGTAAGGCCATGAACAGCAGAGCCCAGCGGAGGGTCGAGGAAGTGGTCTCGGTTCCAGCAAACATCAGGTCGAGGGTGCAGGCGACGAGATGTTCCTCCCGGAAGGTGTCACTGCCCTTGTCCTTCACAAAAAGGTGTGTTAGTGCTGCAGGAACAGTGAGGGCTGTCCTGACACCAGGCTTAGTCCAAACCACACAAGAATTTGGGCAGGAGCTGCTGGCCCCCTGCCATCCCATCCCACTGATGGGTGCTCTGAGCCTGATGTCCGTCCTAAGCTCAGCTGGAGAATTTGGCTCATTTCTCGTCCCTCCTCATTTCTAAGCCCTGCTGCAGAAGGCTTTGCTCTGCATTGCTGACCTTGGCTATCTCCTGCAGGTAGCTGTCGATGTAGTCCCGGCTCTCTGAGGGGTTCCAGTCCTCCTTGTGCTTGTTGATCTGCTCTTGCATGTAGCTTTTCAACAACTTCGAGTTTTTAGAAATGGTTTGGTGTGCTCCAGGGAGGAACTTCATTATAGATGGGAAAGAGTTGTACAGCTTTGGACACAAAAGGAGAAAGAAAAATTGAATAAAGGACTGAAAACCCCTTCAAAACCCAACAATTGAGGATCCTGCAATGCTGTGCTTGCTGAAGTGCTGGAGTTGGTGGAAATAGCTCAGCTCCGGAAGAGCGGGAATCCCTCATGAAGGAAGGACTTGTGTGTTGACAGGTATTAGAGCAGGCAGGTTGGCAGACAATGGGCAGGAGAAGTGATGTTGAGTGAGAGAAAGCAGCATGAGCAAGGCCCAGCTTGAAAGTAAGGCAGCAAGAAATGACAGGCCAATCCACCCTGTGCAAAGCAATAGGCAAAGACAGGTTTGGTGATGACAACACTGAGCTCTGAGGTTGAATCCAGAGAAGAGACCATGGCTGTGGAGTGTGACAGGAGGGCTGTACCTGGGCCGTGATGGTTCCGTTGAGGGCAGTCGTTTCATACATCAGCTTCAGCAATTTTTGGAAGTCCTCATCATGGTAGTCAAACCGATTGCCGAGGGTGAGGGAGCAGATGACGTTTGAAACAGCGTTAGTGAGTGTAAACTGAGGGTCAAAAGGATTCCCTGGAGAAGGAAAAGATCAATTCTCTCCTGGTCTTCTCAGAAAAGGAGAAGAAAACACACTTGGTAAAGGTAAAATAGTC